TGGGTGGGGGTGATAATGACGATGGGGGATTGCGATGGTGGGTGTGACGTGCGGCCACCCCACTACCACCACCAAACCCATACCTTACCCATTGACTTTTAAAATTCAGACCACACAAAACACAAAGAGTGGGTGGGGGTAGGGGTGGGGGGTGGATAAGGGGTTGATGGAAGTCGCCCCCACTGTAGAGGTGGGTGGGGGGGTTACTGGAAAGGTGAGGGGTAGTGCCTAGGGGTGGCAATTATGATAACATTTATATTTATTATGTAAAAGTCCAAATAATATATATATAATATATTTAACATGTTATAAAAAAGGATTTGGATTTTACTTTTTGAAATATTTAATTATTCAATAATATAAGTATAAATATACTATGTATATTTTTTTAATAGTATATTAGAAGAGTATTCATATAATGTAGCGAGATATATTTCATTTTAATGTTTTATTTTATTCTTTATCTCTATCGATATAATATGGTTTTATATAGTTTTAAAAAACGATAATATTTTTTCTTTTGAAGAAATATAAAATTGAAGATATCATAAACATTTGAAAATTTTATATCGATATTAATATTAAATTAGCTATTTAAAAGTTTTTTTTTTGTGTAATTTGTTTAATTCAATTTTTTATTATATATGATTCTTTATAAAGACTAGAATAGCACTCGCACAATGCAGGGTACTCACGTAATGCAGCGAGATACATCTTGATTTTAATGTTTCGTTTTATTTTGTCTCTTGTCGATGTTATAATATGGTTTTATGTAGATTTGAGAAATACGATAATGTTTTTATTTTTGAATAAAATATAAATTTGAAGATATCTTTAAAAAATTTAAAAATATATATCGATATTAGTATCAAATTAATTATTTAAAAGTTTTTGTTTTGTTGTGTAATTTCTTTGATACATTTTTTCTATTATAATTTAATTTAGGTTAATAACGAAACAATTTATTTTTGATTTAATAATATAATTTTTTATAAAAATAATAATTAAGTATTCTGTTAAAAGACGATGATGATTCTAATTATATTTTAATTTTTTTTATATTTAAAATGAAATGTTTATCCAGTATTTGATCATGTTTATTTGCAGTTGGTTACACGAATTCAAGCATGGAACTTTAATAAATTGTACTTATACATTATTTACTTGTAATTTTGAATTTTAAGTAATATGCATCAATAAATAGTTTTTTATGTATGAAAAATGAGTTTTAAGAGTTTTTGTCAGATGCTTTATAATATAGTATAAATAATAATTAAATATTATATTAGAACTCAATAATTATCTCAATTATATTTTAATTTTTTTATATTTAAAATGAGATGTTTATCATGTATTTTAATATGTTTATTTACAGTTAGTTACACGAATTCAAACATGAAGATTTATTAAGTTGTATTTACGCACAATTATCACCAATAGAGAATCACTTTTTGACTTGAATGTGTGTTAGAAGTTTGTTAGGATATTAAATATATTTATTTATTTTTTAATAATATTATGAATGTTGAAATATATAAAAGAGAAAAAGTTATTGGAGTCAAAGGTAATTTTCTTAACGTATTTGACCGGTGATTCTCTATTTTGAATAATTATAAACAATCTGTTAGAGATGTTTTAAATACGTGAATAAGTAAATAATACACAATGACCAAATAGAGGTAAGTTATAGGTAAATGACAAATTACGAGCATACATGATGACATTGAAGAAACAGTCTCGGTTTTGTCCTCTACCCATGTCATATGTAACCATAGAGAGCAATTAAATACGAAAAAGATCAGAAAAAACCAAAAGAAAACTATCATGATATATACTTGAACTTTTAATTTCCATCTTTGAACCATAAAGTTGTGAAGTTTTTTTTGTTAACTACAATGGTGGTGTCTCATTGGTTTGAGCTTGAGCTCCAAAGGTCAAAAGTGTCTGGAGATCCCAGGTTCAAATCCAAAGAAGAATAAAAATCTTCTTGTGGCCACGGAGGTTCAAATGCGGTGACTCCGGGCTACCCGTAAAGCAGGTGGTCGTTCGGGGATTAGTCGGCTCGCATAGCAGGTTGGATATCCAGGTTAATAAAAAAAAAAAGTTGTGAAATTTCAAGTGTAAAAATTGTGTCTCACGAAAGCAGTCTTGTCTCACATGAATCCAATCATTAACTCTTCTATGTTGGTTGTTGTTATCTTAATCTATTAGATTTATCCTTAAATTGTTAATTATGCATGGGAAATCAGGTTTTAATTTCGAGCTCCTATTGCACTCCATGTTTGTGCTGCAATACTGGTATGCGAGCGAGGATGTATTTCCCACAATGTAATTATATCACTCGACTCGACATCGTCCCATTCGGACATGACTCCCGATAGGTTGATTATTGGTTGAAAGTAAAAAAGTTGATTCTAACGTAAAAGCAAAGTTGTGTTCAACCTCATATGTAAAAGAGATTTTTGAAAAGCCGAAGGTAAGAACTTATTGATCTTGAATTAATGGTGTAGGAGCGCGAGACAACAAAATAATTCAAGTGAATTCTATTTTGCTTCTTCATTAAAAAAAAGACGATCAAACAATTCTTAGGGGCCGTTTACCAAACACTTACCCGGTAAGCTCTTACCGGTAAAGTTTAACATTATCATTTACTTATCAGGTAAGATTTTAGTCTACCAAAACGGTATTGTATGCAACAATTTACCCGGTAAGCTCTTACCATGGTAAGAGTCGTCGCCCTCACTTACCGGGTAAGACTCTTGGTCCTTGTCTTGCTCTTACTGGGTAAAATTATTGATCCTTACCATATTCATCCCGTAAGGTAATGTGACTTGGTGTTCACTTACCCGAGTAAGCGTTTGGTAAACGGCCCCTTAATCATTGTCATTAGTAATATCAAAAAAATTCATATAATGAGGTTATTTATTTATGAATAAAATACTTATATATATATATATATATATATATATAGAGAGAGAGAGAGAGAGAGAGAGAGAGACTTGGGATCACGTGAGACTAGCCTGTTTTTATGAGACCCGTGAGACCACTTTTTTACACTTGAAACTTCACAGCAAAACGCTGTAAAGATAACTTTTACAGTGTTTTTGCTATGAAGTTTCAAGTGTAAAAAGGTGGTCTTACGAAAACAGGTTGGTCACACGTGAACCCTTATCTAATACTATATTATAAATCATTTGACAAAAACTCTTAAAAACTATTTTTTATGCATAAAGTATTGTTTATTGATGCAATAATACTTAAAATTCAAGATTACAAGTAAATTGTGCATAAGTACAAATTATTAAAAAGCTCCATGTTTGAATTCGTGTAACTAACTACAGATAAATATAATCTAATACAGGATAAACATCTCATTTTAAATATAAAATATCTAAAATAAAATTAGGATAATCAGTTCTAACAGAATATTTAATTATTATCTTTATAAAAAATTATATCATTAAACTTAAATTAAATTACTTCGTTAATATTTCATAAACCTAAATCAAATTATAATAAGAAAAATTAAATTAAAAAAATTAGAAATTTTAAATAGTTAGTTTGTCGCTAATATCAATATATTTTTTTACAAATTCTTATGCTATATTCATATTTATATCTTATGCAAAAGTAAAAACATTATCATTTTTTTTAAAACCACATAAAACTGTATTATAACATCGAAAAAAGAAATGAAACATTAAAGTCGATATGTATCTCGTTGCATTGCACGAGTACCCTTCTAGTATATATAAGGGCAGGTTCAAACGAGAAAGATTTACGAGAAGGTGAGAAGGAATATGTGACACACAATCCATCAATTAAAAAATACCATAAATAAAAGCCATAAAATTATTTTAGAAATTAAAATAATTATCATTTTGAATTGGATAAATCCTTAAAAATCTCATTATATCTTTAAGATTCTTTTTTATTTTACTTAATTCATAATTTTTCTTTATCAAGTTTTTTACAAAAAAAATCCATATACACTTTTGACAAAAAAAAATCAGAATTTTATCAAATATCACATTTAATATCTACAATCAATTCATAAGTGATAACTATAAATATTTTTACTAATTATATGTGACTGTTTATTTACATTTATAAATTTTTTCATGATGTAAATATTATCACATGTGATAAAACATCGCTTATATTCAGACATATATTATTATATGTGACATGTACAAAAATTACATAGTTGATCATATGTGATACGTGATGTAAATATTATCTCTATTGTTGATTATCGTATTATTTTGATATAGATCCGATTCCGTGTCATTTCTTGGTGAAAAAAAATGATCTGTCGTTATCTCTTCGATCCCTTCGTTTATGTGCCAACGTAAAGCGAGGCATAGAATTGTATGCAATGGGCTCGACAATCCTTGGTAACATGGTAATTATATCCATGATTTGTTATGAATGATATCAAGTTAATTGAACAAAAAGTAGATTACCGGCAACCTTAACTGGCTTTATACGGGACTCGTCTCCAAGGATACCAATAAGAGGGTGCATCTTTTGGCTCAAGCAACGGCTCAGGCCAATAAGAATATTGGGATTAAAGTGAAGACATGTCTTGCATTTGGGCAAAGTCACCTCATTCATTTATCAATTGAATGACTTATTATACATTGTTTGTAAAATGTTCTGGAATCTTGTATGCTATGTTTAACCAATACAAAAGAATTAACGGTTAAACATTAACATCGAATTAGACACTGAATCAAATATGGTAATCTTTATGTCCAAAAAATATAATGCTCGACCTTTAACGTATAATTTAATAAATAATTTTTTTTTGAATAGGCATCAAGCATTACATTTGGATAACACAAAATAAATAAATAAAGTGTGAAATATAATTAATTCATACCAATATCTTACATTAATTGTTAAGAGTAATTAAGAGACTCTTTGGCAGTTGCTGAATAGTTTGATGAAGAATGAATGATTAAGATGTTCTTATAATCTAGTGCAAAATGAAATATAATTGTTTGGTAATTATTCATAATAAAATTATGATGCTGAATGGTTAAGGAATACTCAAAATACAAAAACCATTCAGAGGGTTTTGGAACCATTAAGAGGCATAATTTTTTTGTCAACCAAGATTCACCTGTTAATGAAACTATTAAGAGATAAACAAACAACCCCTAAATACTTTCAAATCTAAACCATTAAGATTATAAAGACTTGTTTATGATTAACTCAAAATAAAATAAAAATATTTTATTTGTTTCAAATAATCAGAATATTATTTTTGTTAGAAGTAGAATAAAACAATATAATAAAATAAAAGATTAAATACATAAAATAACAACCAACTTTCATAAATTTTCTTATTATAGCATTCTACTTTTGTTTTTTTTTTATTACAGCAATGTACATTCAAATTATTTTTTATTAAGGTATCGTACTTTAAAAAATATACCCATTATAGCAATGGGTAACCTATTACCTTTTAAACAGGTTAACTCTTTGACTTTTTTTGCTTTTGTGTTTTAATAAGGTGATGTGGATGACACATCATTTTGATGACTTAACTAAAATAAAAATAAAAACTATTTCAAATTATTATTAGTGATTTTTATTTTTCATTGCTATGATCTAAAAAAACATTTAATTTTTTTGACTTTTTCTTATTACGTTGCATGCAAATTAAATATTTTTAGAGTAAAATAATTATTAAATAAATATGAAACATTATTTTCGAGATATATTATGTTTGTAAAAAAGTAACTCTTCTTATTTTATGTTGTTCAAATAAATACATATCTTTTAAAGTTCTTTCTAAAATGTTAACGAAATAAATTGTATTCTACAATTTTTCTAATACTTTTATATTATTAAATAATTCAAAAAAATTTAATTAATTTAATATATTTATACGTCAAGTAAAAGTTTTTGAACAAATATAATATATTCTTTAAAAGATAATATTTTTTGGTAAAAAATAAACATTTTTTTTTTTTCTTTTTTTCAAAAAACAAATATTTTTTTAAAATATTAGTGAGATAAATTGTGTTATACTAGTTTTATTGATATTGGTATATTAATGAATAATTTAGAATTTTTTTAATTTATTTAATATATTTATTAAATAACATGTAAAATATCTAAAAATTAAAATTAAAAATACAGTATTTAATAATAACTAGTAGATGCTATAATAAAATAATTTTGAAAGTACAATGATGTAGTAAGAAAGTCACATCACTATAGTACATGTGAACAGCCTACATGGACGATGAGATGGCACGAAAACTTGGTATAATGGATAAATTTAAATAAAAAGATTACTCAATGCTATAATGGGTAAAACATTTCAAAATACAATGTGATAATAAAAAATAGTTTGAAAGTACATTGCTATAATAAAAAAAACTGAAAGTACAATATTATGATAAAAAAATATAAAAGTAAATTGTTATTTTATACATTTTACCCTAAAATAAACATCGGTTGGAAAAATCCAAAAGAAAGAAAACGCAACCCGGTTCATGTAAGCCGCCGTGTATTATTCCGAAAATATTCACACAAAGTTCGTGGAGCATTTAATTTGATTTTTAGTTTTATAAAAATTGTTATAAATTCTAATTTAATTTTTTTAATAATTAATTCTTCGTCCAAAATAATTTGACATGAACAACCTTTCTGCGATCTCTCTCTTTATTCTCCTAACTTTTATGGTTACAGGTTATTATTTCTCATCTTTATGTGCTCTGCATTTGCTATCATGTGTTATTTCATATGAATTTTTTCTTATCTGTCGTTAAAATTTAACGTAATAATTAATATATATTTGTTTTACAACATGTTCATTTCACATGTACTCAGTTCATAATGTGAAACAAAAAATACAAATGAAAAGCTTCACATTGTAAACCGAATATATATGAAACAAACATATTGTAAAACAATTACTATACTTTTGATGGAAAAAAATCACGTAGAACAAAACCTTATGATAAAAACTTGAACAGATAATGAGGTAACGACAAGAGTAACGGCGGCAGAGTGCATAGAAGAACATCAAGTTGTTAACTGCAATGCTTGCAACTTCATCTGTAAAGTAGATCATGCTTTTAACGACGTTAACGCCACCGGCCGTTGCTACTCCGCTCAAGACGACCCTGCCATCCATCGTTGCTTTTGTTTTTATGACTGCACTTGATCTAAATCAACGATGGAAATTGCCACCAACTGCCACCACCACCACCATCAACCACCATTGCAGTGGTGGTGGCCGGTTGAGTTAGCACAGCCACAGTTACGCAATACAAGTATATTACCGGAAATAAGTCGGATTCATTTATTCACATGACGATATAACGTTAGTACAGATTCTATGTCACTTATGGTCATAAACATGAATAAAAACTACATGAACAATGATATATATATATATATATATATCTATATATAGAAATAAATAAATATAAGATTTCAAGAAACCAAACCTTAAACTTTTGCTTTAATTGATCGATCACTGTTGGTGTTTGTCATTGTTGTTGCTTTTTATTCTCAGCTAAACCTTTAACGAACGCCTCAACGATCTGCTTTTGCGACTCGAGCAACAGCTCGTTGCGTTTCATCTCGGCTTCCATTCGCATTTTCTCGATCTCATGAACCATATCCATCTTCATCTTTTCCATCTTCACAAACCCATCAGCTAAAAGCTTAATCGATGACACGATTTGCCCGATTGAGTCGTCATCCTGTTTGATCCCTCTTTTCTCTCTTGAAAACTCATTCGAACCATTTTCGCTATCAAAGTAGTGGTGGCCTGAGTTCCTATCAATTCGATCTCCCAACTTTTCTTTAAAATCCATGGACCGATCTTTCGGCTTCTTCATCCAGACTTCATCCTCTCCCAGAACGTCATCATGATCTTGCCCGTTTTCGTTCCAATAACCATGATTTGAGTTAGAACTGGTTTTGCTAAATTTTCTAGGTCTAACTCCTGAATGTTCTAGATCTTGAAAATTGGATGGGTGGAGATGAACTCCATCATTGCTATGATGATCGGATTGGAATCTTGTTGCATAATTTTGTGAAGATAATTTGTGGGTTCTTCCTAAATTCTTACCAATTGGAGTTTCAACATAATACCCATCTTCGAATTCATCATTATTATCTTCCTCTTGAGCAGCATAATTATTAGAAACCCTAAAATTGTTTGACCTAGTTGCTATCGTTACCAAATTGCCATCAGCTGCAACCGGTTTGAATCGAATCCCACGCCCCGGATTCAAACCTCCATAACCCGAATCAACAATCGTGTTCGATTCATGATTATTTTTCAAAGAAACAATTTTAATACAGGAAGAATTGAGATCGTTACCGGATTGTGTTTCTTCGTCGGGATTAGATCCGTTACCGTTTTTCTCCATCGAATCCATGGCTTCAAAGTAGAACCAAGTCGATAAGAACTGGCCGCCGGGAAACGACAGAGCCCGCTGCTTCTCGGCGCGGTAACGCTGTCGGAGTTTCTCCATCTTGTGGCGGCACTGGGCGGATGTCTTCGGCGGTATCGCGCCGGGACATATCCTGCCGACCTCTTCAGCAACCGCATCCCAGTCGGCGGTGCGTAGATATCCACGACGGAGTGCGTACCATCTCTCCCGGTAGGCTTGGATGAGTGCTAGTGCTTCATCTTGAGTCCAGCAGGGCGGTGGGAATCTCCGAACAGGCTTCTCGGCTGCAGAAACGGCGGTAGCGGTGGCGGACATCGAAGATTGAAGCAATCAAGATCCAAAGGATAGAAAGATTGGCGGTGGTTTGAAGAAGGGGGAAAGGGAGAAGTAGGTGGTAAAAGAAGAGGACCACCGGGTGGGGTGGACGGTGATGATGGGGGATGACGAGGGTGATGCTAGAATGCGCGGGGGGTGTGGTGTGCACCCCACCCCACCCCACTAGTAGTACAACTACAACCAACCACTCCACCAGTAATCCACCACCACCGTGTTCCCCACCACCAACTCATTGCACCCATCCTTCCTTTTTCTCTCTCTCTACAATTTGGGTTAATGGGTTTCCAAATTTTGGGCTTATCTATTTTATTATTTTCTTTTTTTTATTCTTTTTTTTTTAATTATTAGTCATAATTTAGAAATATCAAAATAGTCGATCCATCAAGTTTACTTTTTACCCATTTTTTTTTAACTTAATTTCATTTTATCACTTGTTACATCACTATAGTAACCGATTAATGCTTTAATCAGTAACCTAGATACTTAAATATTTAAAATTTTACATGTTAGATGTCAAAATGAAAGTTCTGAAAGTACGTTATCCAAAATAGGAATCAAGTTAATGTGTGGTATTTTTCCATGTAAGTTGTCCTATTACGATAATTATCTTAAAGTCATCTCCAAATACCTTTTCGCATTCGTATTCATATCCGACGTAATAAAGAAACTCAAATGAATCGTCATCAGCTGCTTCTTCGCAAACACGACTCACTCGTAACTCTCGCTAGCATCTCAACAAGATAGGACCGATGTCATGGTGGACGTGTATGCACATATGTATATATGTATGTATTTTGTTTGAAAAAGACAAATCTACAAGTCAACACTCGTGGCGATAGAGTCTTACCAATCAGTTTTACAATTTTTGATCTTAATGTTTCTAAGGGGCATTTACCAAACGCTTACTACGGTAAGTGTTTACCAAGTCACATAATTTTATCGGATGAATATGACACGGACCAAGAATCTTACCCGGTAAAAGCGAGACAAGGACCGAGAGTCTTACCAAGTAAGTGAGGACGACAACTCTTATCACAGTCATAATCTTACCCGATTAGTAAGTGAAAGTGTTGAATTTTATCGATAAGCGTTCACCAGATAAGTGGTTGGTAAACGACCCCAAAGTCAACTTTTTTTTATCAAATGTGGTGTCTTGGGATGCACAACAGCCCAACTAACCTGATCCATTCAGCCAATCCAAGTCATTCAATACCTCACTGAGTTGTAAAATTTTCAAACTGTAGGTATTAAGTTGGACTCACTTGAATTCAACTCAACCAAATGAACTTGTAACTTGTAATTTGTAGCCATAAAAAAGAAAACCTCATGCAAATATATGTTATGTAATTTATAGCCTTATTATATATTAATGCTAACATTGAAAAAAAATGGATAAACAACTATATTTAACTAATTATAATTATTATATGGGTTAATGACTTAAATAGTCATTTTGTATGGGGACCAATTACAAAATAACTATTTTTTTTTTTATATTTTTAAATTAAATGGGTTAAAACAGAGATGGTTAAACTGGGTCCAACCTGCCCCAAAACCAATAGAGTCATAAATTATGTTGGACCGTTACAAGTTTTATAGACATTCAGGACCTATTCCAAGATCGATATATGTGCAAGATCAAATTTTCACACTTTTACAAAATTATATTTCAAAAAGTTCAAGATTTGTTTTTCAAGCTATAAAAAATTGAGTTTTTGAAGAATTTTTTGATATTTAAAATGTATTTCAATACTTAATTTCAAAAATAATAATCGTAAAAGCTTTTATAACATCCTTGCGTAAACAAAAGTTGTTAAAAGAATAGGGTTGGTCCCTGGACCGATCTGGGACCTGCCCAGAAAGACCTGGGCTGGTTGTCGAGCCTATACTCAATCCGTCTGACTTTCTCACTCTTATTGATATTGTGAACTTACTGTAACCTGACACTACCCGCCAGCATGCGAATAGATAGGGCAGGAGCGCGCCGTCCGAAAGCATTCAAAATGTATGAACTCCGAAGCTAGGTTGTATGACTTCCGTCCTTGATCAATGGTGTGCCATGAGATGCTTCGCCCGGAGGATCATGATTCGCCTCTGGGCATGTCGGCAGGATCCCTATAAAGAAAGCTGCACAGAAAGAGGCAATTGAGAGAAAATAGGACGATAGCGATAGACACAGGAACTGAAATAGCTGCTTTAGAGGTTGCTTAACAGGTATCTGGCTGAACTAGCCGGAAGAGAACTTAGATTCGCCCGGCCAGCAGGCGAGGGGGGCTTATCTATTCCATCTCTCGAGCCCCAAAGAAAACAAATTATCTCACTTCCCCGAACGAATTAGGAGAATGGAAGACCGAAGAGACCCAACTCAAGCCTTTTTTCTGGTTGGTTAGTTGGTTTTTATTTTCATCTGCATCCAATCTGATCCAAAACTGGTCTTTACCCGATCCAAATATAAGTAACAACAGTATTTAAAACATTAGGATAAGTAATAGTAGGTATATCTAGCATACAACCATACAATAAATAGCATTAATGAATGAGGTGTTTATAAATTCAACTTATGCCATTTACAATTTCACATCTCACAAATCAAAAGTCAACCATGAAGAACATCTCCATTTTCACCCTCTTTTTGCTTGTGAGCTTCCTTGGTAATTCCTTTTAACCTATTTACATTTAATTATTATTATTTTTAAAAATAAATGTCTATATTACTGTTTTAGTTTATCTTAAAATAAGTGTCCATTATAAAAAGTAATGGTCTACTTTCCCATTTTACCCTTAATTATGAAATGGAGAATATTTCTCTATATAATTAAGGTTAAAATTGTTTTTTTAAATTAAAAAGTGTAATAATTACGCATCCGAAAAACCCGTGTGTTTTTTTATTGTGGACATTTATTTTAGAATGAATGAACTATTTATCTAAATGGGGGTTAAAAACAAGTTTTAATAGACAAAACGGGAAGAAAAAAACTGATTAGTTAATAAGATGTAGATTAAAAGCAATTAATCTATAATAATTACATGAATACAGGATTAGAGATGTTCATGGCGCAGATTCCGATATGTAACAAAAAGCTCAAAATAGTTCCGGGATTTTGCAACAACGACAAGTGTGATCAGACATGCAAATCTTATGTTGATCCATACGCTACCGGACATTGTGATAATTTCGTTACTTGCAATTGCAAATTCCGTTGTAAGAATTAATGTTCAGTATAAACATGAACGAATGCAAAAGTTTTTTAAAAGTGAATGTTTCTTTCTCTCCATGTTTGTATGTATTACAAATTTATGTATCAAAATGATAGGTTTTAAATTAGGAATCTTTGCATAAACCGTAGCTTATATACAATTTGAGCATTTTGTGAAACCAAAAACCGTATTGCATATGTTTCAAGCTGCAAAAAACTGCACATCATTCATGCGGTTTATACATTACGCGTTTTAAATCAGATAATTGTAAAATCATAACTTTAGAAAAAAAATTGAACTGTAAACCATATCGCATATGATTCAAACCAAACCAAGTTTATGCAGTTTGTACCTAACACGGTCCAATCAAATAATTTTAAAAAACATAACTTAAATAAATTTGACGGTGGCAAGTGGTACAATAAATAGTTCCAATACACCGAACTTATTAAGTGTTTTCTATTATTGGCTTTTGGGCTTCTGATATGAATTTTTATTTATTATGTCATATTTGCATCATTTATGTCATGTTGGTTCGTAGTTTGATCTCGTGGTTTGGTCAATTTTCATGGCATTTTGGGTGCTCGAAATGCAAGTTCCAAATAAGCACAGCTCGTCATGATACGAGCCATAAGAAGTCGTTCCAATCCCTGGCAGATGATAAGTTCCCTCTTCCTCAAAAGAAGTCGTTGTTCCAATCTATGGCAGATGCAAGAGTACTATCTAAGTTTAAGTAGATTGGGCAAAATGTTTGGCACTCACAATGCCAAAATCAAGTGAAAAATTATACGGTTGTTTCTATGCCAGAGAAACTATACAAAATACATTTTTACATGAATTTTCAATTGTAATTGGACCAAATCGGATCCAAAATTTTAACATCCAAATTGAATCCGTCAGTTATTGGATGACATTCTAAAATCCAATAAAACCGAACTGATTCAATTCAATGACCATTCCATTCAATTATCACCCAACTACCATCCAATTATTATCTATATATAACTATTAACATTTTACAATATTTTTTAATTGATATTTTATACGTAGTGATTTTTAATAAATTAAGAAAATGTATGAATATTTAGTTGAAACATTTGATTAATTAACTGAAAAATGTATGAAAATATTGAATCGATCTGATCTGATCCAATGGATAAGTAATATCTCAATGAATGAAACTGATCCAATCCAAAATATTGTATGAAAATTATATATATCACTTCAATTTCACTCTTCAATAATCAAAAATTGTCAGACATTCAAACAATCGAAAGAGAGTATTGCAAAATCACAAAACCATTGTCTGTATGATACTTCTTTTATTGCGATAAAAAACCAAATGAGTCCATTGCAGCAATGGAGGTTTTATAAAGCTCAAGTGACCAAACCTATTGCTGAATTAGCATCTGGATTCGGTCGAACAAGACTTAATTTTAAGACCATATTGTACAACAAACAAATGCAGTGATTAAAGTCAGAGCAAAGTCGGATACTTGGCATCGAGGAAGTCCCTGAGAATCTTGGCGGATTTCTGGCTGCCCATTAGTTCAGCGAGTCTCTCCACCGGAAGGAGGGCAACCTCCGCCAAGCTGCTGCACCCGTCCATTATGGCCCTGTAGTTGGAATCCGTCACACCTGGTAGTCGCCTCAAGAACTCGATGGCAGAAGTATTGTAATTCTCAGCTCTGTAATAACCAAATATTCACAAATGGATATTGTTTATATGGTATTTTTAAGCAAATGAAGCGATGAATTACTTGCATACCTGACGTCATCTTCCACGACACCCTCTTCTGAAGGTACTCCAACTCTCGTTGCCTTAACTTCATCAGGTTCGTCTTGATTTGTTTTAAGAGAAGCAAAGATTTCCGCAGTTGCATGCAAGCTACGCGACCATACAATTCGCAAACGAGGAAAATGTAGAACAAGCAAAGATAGCTTCGATATAATATTATGGGGCGTGACATCCTCGCCAATCTCACTCGTTGACTGCAAGATTTAGCATTTATTAGAAGAAAACATTTTGGCTCTCGATAATTAGATTAAGTGAGAAGTGTTTACCTGAAACGAGAAGCTTTTGTCTTGTGAAAACTCGATTAAAAGAACAGGCATCCGGTAATAACGGACCATCATTTCAACTTGGTGGTAAAGACGGCCTGATGCAAAACTACTAAAAAGGTCTTGTATGCTTTTTCTTTCCACACATATCATCGGTGACAAAATGTAATCTCCAACTTCGAGAGTAACCGGTATTATATTCATACCCTTTTGATGAAGAACGTTAGGAAGGCTGCTCATGAACTCCCGCATATCCACTATGACCTGTAACAGACAATGTAAATGTGTAAATACGTGAATGACATTCTCCATGTTCAATACTGTAATTTGTCAAACTGAGAAAAAATTGTTGATCAAATGACATGTATGAATCGACAAAAACAAACAAACAGAAAATAGTTCGTAAAAAAATAAAGAGAAGGTTAAACTAGGAATGAGATTGCATACTTGCATCTCTTTGTCGGCTTCCTTCTGTCCACCTGCCTTCCTAGTTACCATATTTTGCTTCAATGGAGAGTCCGTCTCACTAGCAGAATTTCGAACAAGGCCATGAGCAACCTGATGATATTTTTGACAAGTTAGAGAACAACAGATAAATAGGTAAATGAATACTGCAGTTGGAACTATTATTAAGTACTAAAATAGAAGATGGTCATTCGATTAATTGAGAAATGTTTCTAATATGAAACCTATATTGGAAATCTTGAAATCTTTATGCAAATATCACCATCGACTTCCCAATACAGACTGCTGCAAGTTATAGCAATTCCTGACTCAATTTCGTTGATCTATGCATGGTGGCATGTTAAAGTTTCATAAAAGAAGATACTAAGAGACCAGATAAGATTACAAACACAAAAAAGAGTTACGAATGTTTCAAGAAAATGGGCAGAATAACTGAACCTGATCAACTGGCAACATCATCATCGATTTCTGCCTAATCAGGGATTCAAATGCTCCATTTTCGCGGCGTATACTAGCCTCAAACTTTTGCACTTCTGTAGAATCTTCATAAAACAAAAAATATACTTTCACCTTCTTTGTGGGATTTTCAGCTTTATATATTTCAATTTCTCGTACAAAGGCGATGTCAGGATGGTAAACAACAATTGCAGATGGCTTCAAAACGTCAAGTACTTGCTGACCACTTTCATAGGCATAAAAATGCACTGGAGGAATCCGTTTTTCATTCCTCGGTTGCTCAACATCAGCCCCTTCTACATGCTTCTTGAGAACACTTGTGCCAATTGTTGTATGATCGCTAGCTGGATTAATTTCAACTTCTTTGCCATCATTTTTAGAAGAGGGCTCAGATTCTTTTAGCAATGCTGCCTCAATTTTGTTTCCATCTCCTCTCTTTAAGGAGGCATTTCTTGAGGACTTCTTGTTTCTACTTTTCGAACTCCCTTTTCCCTTTCCTTTTTTGACCTCACAATTTTGAGGATCGTCCACTATTTCTATACCTTTCTGGGCTTGCTTACTTAATTGGGTTGCTGCTGCTAGTAATGCATCATGTTCTTGTGTTACTAAACTATTGCCTTCTACTCTCTTTCCAGGTGTCAAAGGGAGCACTCCGTCAAGTACCCCGAAACCTTTAGTGTTTTGGGGTTTCTTCTTATTACGCTTTGGTAAGGCATGCAACTGCACTTTGCTCAGCAAATATTTATCCCACTCTCCTCGCATGACCTTAACAAGAAGCAGGCATACATGCAAAGAAAATTAGAATGAAAGTTGGAACCAGAAAAGGTAAATAAAAACAAAAGACCATGTCTACAAAATAACAAGTGCAAAGTCCGAATAGTTTCTGATTGAACCTCGAAAAAGATGCAAACATAATTTAAGTTTCTCACAGACAGAACACATGAAATTGCAATCAACTCATCTATATTACTACAGTTTTCCTTTTCTATCCTCTAATTTATGTTCAATTTCCCCTTTTTAACTCTTCAACATCTGAGCTTTAAGGGCGCAGAAGTACACAAGCACTCCATGGAAACTATAAGGGGGAGTATTTCAATTCATTCCCATTTCTCTCTTTATGAATATGCCTCAACATCACCAGTTATTTTAGTAACGGGTCCATAGGTCTGAATTCAAACAGAAAAGAGCTAGGATCTCCAGTGGTTAAAAACCAAACATGACCAAAAGCTGTAGATCAAAGGGTTAAAAGAGCACATCTGAATGACTCTTGACGCCAACTAGGAATTGTCTTTATAAAATTTCAAGTCTGTGGTCTCTCACAATTTGATTTTGATTCTGTCATTTTCTGCCATTATCCCTTCTAGAGCTTAATTGCCTAGGGGGTTAAGCAAATTCTTCAACATAAGCATAAGCAATTCATATGAATACATAAAACATAATTAATTTTTGAATTATGATAATCAACATTTTCAATAGCATATTGTTTTCATCAGTTGCTTCTGAAGATGACTATTTTCATTATAGCATTGATAAAATTACTCTGAAACTATTGAAAACATTCTATCAATTTGAGATAAAGCAATTGATGAACTCATGCAAGGAAAGTTGATTGATCCTCAACTAACTGAAATGCTTAATTCGATGATTAGTTACTAACTGAAGCAGTAAGACCCTAAACTCCTAGGCAATCGATTAAGAGGCCCTAACTAATCAAAGCAGTAGTGAACGCTTGGGCCTAGGTGGCTGCTTAAACCGTCCTAACTGGGTGTTTCTGGAACCCTACCAACTAGTATCATACACAAAGCTAGATTGAAAAAGACGTTTTTTGTATCAATGCATATGTGTGAACAATACTTGTAGATGGTGACCGCAGAGCAAATTATCAAAATATCAAAAGGAAACGCTTGGTTTTAACATGCCAAACAGCCACAACTGTCAGCTGTGCTACCACCTGAAGCTTTCAAAATTTAGCCTATAACAAACCAACAAAAAGCAGCAAGTAAAAAAATCTCATAAATCATGTACGTGTAACAATCATATCACATGATGAGGAAAACCTTGTTTGGGTCGCTCGTGATACACTCCTCAAGCTGAACACAAGAGTGTTCGTCTTTACAGGCAACCAAAACAATGCCATTATCATCTTGAGCACTTTCAACAACACATTCATCAATTGATGTAGCTTGCTTCTGTCTTTCTTCTTCTATTTCTTCGAGAACCTCCTGCATTAGGTAAAGCAAAAAGGTCAACATGAGATTTAGCCAATGGTCACAATAGCCATACAACAAACACAGAAAACTGAAAGTTCTAGAAGAAGTCAAAATTAATAATAAATCTGCTAATTACCTTAAACTAGAACTATATAATTCTTGCATAACTTTAAGATAACATCTGCAAAATCCTAAAATGAAAGAATATGATCTCAATGATCAGAATAAAAGTGGAACTCACTCACTCACACGCAACACCTTCCACTTTGGTGCCTCCTCCAAGACTTCCTCCAAAATTACCCTACTATTGGCATCCTTTACCAGAGAATCTACACATTTGCACACAAAAATGATTATACAGACTAGAAAATAGTAAGAAACATTACCTATTCTAGAAAGATCATAAAGAATTTTGGCCACTTTTGAGGTAGCAAGGCTTCATGCTAGAAAGAATATAACACGTATACAAGATCAACATTTTAAGCTACATAAAATATCAAAATTTGCTTGACAAGATCACATGGCATAAGAATCTTTACAGTACTAATATACACAAACCGAGTACAATATCCTCACCTTCTTGGTCCTTGTTACTATCATCCAACTTCCTCTTCTTGGACTTCACGCTCTTCTTAGCCGGAGCAGTCAAATTTTCACCGTTTGACATCCCGAAGTGATAAACGCGTTTTTTTGCATACTCAAATATCTTATAACTGGACTCTGCAAATATCCATACAGAGCGAAAACTCTCTGATGCTCTCAACGAATCCAAATACTTTAAATAAGTCACTGCATCATACCTAAACCACAATAAAAGCATTGGAAAATTAGATCTCTTCAACGTAATTTATCATTGTAAATGCATCAATAGAAAACTGACAAGATGGAGAACAAAAATACCAAACGATCAGCCATAGAAACAGGCTTCGAATAGCAGTACCACAGTAACAGTTAACAGAAACTAACTGATTATCATTCTCTAGTATTCATAAGACAAATGCTACTTAACAAGTTGAAATCAATAGACATACCTAACAAGATAATCCAACAACTTCCTCAACGTTTTCAAATCTGAAACAAGCTGCTTAGTCTTCTTCCCCAATGTATGCCAAATTGGATCCAATTGTCGCCTAACAATCTCATCAAATGACTTGAACAGACCATTCTCCACAGTTAAATCCTCCACATCAACCTTGTTAGTCTTCCTCATCTCTTTCAAACAAGCATCCATGACCTCTATCACCGCTTTCTGAATCCCCACCATGTATGCAGACATGGGGACTCTGATGTCCACTACTTCTGGTGGATACCTCTCTAGGTCTTCTGATACATATACCTGAGAAAGTACATAAAAAAATTTCAATTGGGCTAATTTCTTTCAAGAACTAGAAGAGTCTCACCCGCTGTTATGCACAACCATCCCATCTCCTCAAAATGACGACTTGAGCACATGCATGTCTTTTGGATATACCTAGTATACTGAACCAAAAATTTGTTTCTAAAGTTCGAAATATTAAAAACAACCTTTACACTGTTGGGGAATCTGGGTTTGTATTAACCAGATCACATTTTATGTATTTATATGAGAGATCGATGGTTATGGACGGTTTAAAACGGTTAAAATATAATTGTGTGGCAGTTATAATTGTTAACGGATAAGATATGGGAGCAGTTATATCAGAATTATAAGCAACATCCAGGGCTCTGGTTCCACAGTCCAAAGCTCTGAATGCTCTAGTCAAATTCCACGGTCTCCACGGTCCAGAGCTCTGGTTCCACGGTCTGAACCATCCTAAAACTAAAATTCTCTGTCTAACTCTTCTTAGACTCCATAAACCTCAGGGCGCTGCCCTGAACCCTGCAAGGGGTGCCCCCTTTGACGATTTAAGGTAATAAGGGCAACATTTGTGACCATACACTCAGCACCTCCTAACTTATTTTATTTGCCTCTTCACCTTAATTAATCTCAAGTAAATCACAATTACACCAAATGCTAGATGACACTAAAATCACCAACATTCAAACGAAAATGAGCGATTATGTAATTGAAAAGCATTGGCTAATCAGAAGTTCCAAATGTTAGGTACTAACTCAATTACTTCCATACCTGAAACCTGGGCCACAGATAGAGTTTCCTCAGAAACAAGCACTTAAGCGTTCTCTCAGCCTTAGCGAAACCAGAGACCATGGCATGGGGCTTGTCCGAAAAGGCACGAACATAAAGATTCTTATTCGACGACCTAAGAATCCTTACAATGAAAGCCTCGGTACAAGTTTCCGACAAAGAATGTGCATTAAGGAGGACGACCCCGGCCACGGCAGAGGTAGGGAGGCGGCGAGTGAGGAGATCGACGATGAGGATACGAGAAGTGATGAAGAAGGCGTTCCCGGAGGAGTAGAGGGAAAGACGGTGATGCGCCTGGAGGTCGGAAGTTATCTCGGACGGTGAGTTGGTAACTTCATTGTTAGGGTTAGGGTTTAGGGAGGTGAGGATGGAGTGCTTCTGGGATGGGGATGCAGAGAGGATAAGAAGAGTACCTTCGGATGGGTGGTGCAGGTGAAGAAGAGCAGTAATAATTTTGTGCATACCAAGGCCGGAAGAGAGAACAACCAGGCCGCCGCCGTCGCTGGGTTCTTCAAGGAGATCGGCGATTATGTGCTCGTGAAATTGAACCATTTTCTTCACTTGTTTCGGGTGAAAACTGCAGGTCCTACCTATATATACGTATGCTCCTCCGCATTCTAATTCAATTGACTTTTGGTCGAATGTATTTTATAAATTTATCAAAGCTTAATACATTTTTGTAATTATATAACCATATTGAATGGTTTGATGTAAGATGATTAAAAGACTTTTATGATATATGTAAACTAGTGTTTGATATCGTGCGTTGTGTGATTAACGATAAATTTTTTAAAAATTTACTGAAATTAGCTAAATGAGTCGATAAACACATTTATATATTAAACTAATAAGAATCAATATTAACTGATATATGAATCTAACTTATCATTATTGATTGTTCTTTTAATATTATATATATATATATATATATATATATGTGTGTATAATTATTAAGTCTTATATATCAATCTTTTATTATATCAAACTTTGTGACTGGTTCAAAATCATAAAAAAAATATGTGAAAATATTAATTATAATCATGGGGTGTATTAAGAGAATTATTTTACCATAATACATATCAATTTGTCTTCTACATATATTCTCATAAAATATTTATATTCACCAAGCAATAATTGTATTGTTATTTACATTGATATAATTGTTGAATATTTTTATAATTTTCTTATATTAGTTCATGATATACTCATTTGCAACATTGGTCAAGAACCTCATTGAAACCAAATTTTTCCTACATGCGATTGCATAAAGTGAAAATAATAGCTAGTATTATGATCATTCTAGATATATAAGAGTYYGATTGATTTGTTATTTTTTCATTTGACTTGTTCAAGCTTTTTAGATTTATTTTAGACTGTTCATAGTTTGGTTTATTTATAAAAAAAGTCTGAAAATAGAAGTTTAAATAAAATTATGTAAAATAAAATATATGTATTATATTGAATTTCATATTTTAAATATAGGGATGGAAAAGTCTTTTACATATATCAAATATTTTAAAAAATAAAAAATCTAAGAGAAAAATGAGTTTCTAATGTTTAGAGAATAACACCTCATTATGTTTGGTTTCTTCCTTAAGAATTAAAAATATTATAAAATAATTTCCAAGCTCAATGCTAAAAAAGGAAAAAAAAAATCACAATAGACTGATCAACATCAACAAAAACTCATATCATATTTGTTTTTATGAATGACGACTCAAATCAACAAAAAAAACAAATCACATCCACAAAAACTGAATAAAGATTAAGAATTGGAAGATTAAAAGAGATTATTATGTTAAACAATGTTATCTTATTTCATTAAAGATTCATATGCCACTTTATCCACACAAAAAATAAAAATAAAATTGTATGCCTACATAATTCCAACTTTAGTGTGAATTCTCCGACTAAAAGACGAAATATTATACTTACATAAGCAAAAACTCATACTACGATTAGTCTTATTGAATGACGCTTCAAATCAACAAAAATGCAAATCACCCCCACAAAATTATAACTGAATAGAGAGAAAGAATTGAGAGATTAATAGAGAGATTCATATGTTTGTATAATTCCAATTTTAGTGTGAATATCTCAAATTAAAAAACGAAAATACTATACTTACATTAACAAAAACTCATATCATATTTCTCTTATTGAATGATGCCTCAAATAAACAAAAGTGCAAATCACCTCAAAAACTGAATAGAGAGGAATAATTGAGATGTTTTTTTCTTAAACAATGTTACACTATTTCTTCACGGATTCATATGTCACTTTATCCACACACAAAAACTCCATATGCCTACATAATTCCAACTTTAATGTGAATATCTTTGACTAAAAAAATATTATGTTTACATAAGCAAAAACTCATACTATGATTTGTCTTATTGAATAACACCTCAAATCAACAAAAATGCAAACCGCATTCACAAATTTATAACTGAACAGAGAGAAATAATTGAGAGATTAATAGAGATTATCATAGATGTGTACCACAAAATTATACATGAATAGATAGGAAGAATTGAGAGATTAATAGAGAGGTTATCATAGAGATGTACCACAAAATTATACATGAATAAAAACGAAGAATTGAGAGATTATTAAAGAGGCTACGTCATTGCATGTGGTTTCTTCTTTAATATATATATGGAGAGAGATTTAAATATGGTTCTTTGGTAATTGTTTATAATGAAAGTAAGATGTTGAATGGTTCGGAGAACTCTAAGATACAAAATCATGACAGACTTTTTTTTGTCAAACAAGATTCACCTTGTAATTGAATTATTGAGAGGTAAACAAACAGCCCCTAAGACGGCGTTTGGTTCGCATGATTCCGACGGAATCTAAAGGAATGGAATGATAAATCTCATTGACAATATTTCATTCAAGCGTTTGGTTTACCTATGAAATATAATTGAACCATGCACATTCCATTATTCATGGATTTGGTCATTCCATCACAATTAAGAAAAAAATTAATTTTATTTCATCACATTTTCTCAAAAATACAAAAATATTTTCATTTTCTTTACTTGATTTACCCAAACTCATATGACCTTCATCTAAACCACCACTGTTATAAACCACCATCAATCACCACATTTTGAACCATCAACAACCACTACCGTCGACCACCACCGATCTGAATTACCGTCAATGATGACCAATCTGAAACACCGTTGACCACTACCGTTCTGAACCACCTACGACCACCATCGATTTGAACCACCGTCGACCCCCATCGTTATAAAATGGGGTATTTTGGTCATTTTTATCGTTTATTTATTTCAATTATGAAGCTACATTTTACCAACCAAACAGCAAATCCCAAATAATATACACATGTCAATGGATATCGTTGTTGTTGCTCGTCTCATACGTTGTCGTGTTCGATTTATTCGATTAAGCAGTGGTTGTGTTTGCTTTATTCAGTTTCATTACTGGATGTGTCATTCTCTGATTTATTATTTAACTTTTTTTAAATCAACTATTGCATTTTGTAAGTTAATTTTTCACTTCATAACACCCGTGAAACATTCATATTTTGCTTAACACTGAGAAGGTGAAAAATGGTTTGTTTTAAAACATTTATCTAACAATTACTTCCATTCTTACACGTATCATAGGTGCGGTGATTTACGTCATGAACGAATTATCTGGTTCAAGTTCAAGATGGCCCATTTTAGTGTAATTATTCTGCATCAAAGTATTTAGGATTTATCAAATGGCTCGTAAGTTTCACTATGGTACCTTTTTTAATTAAAAAAAACATATAATCTCAATAATAATTAGGGTTGTAAACAAACCGAACGTTCAGCGAACCGTTTGCCGGGAAGTTCGTTTATTTAATAAATGGACGAACATGAACAGTTTTTTTTTGTTCATTTAAACATGAATAAAAGTCTCGTTCGTTCATTTATGTTCATGAAGTTCATTTACGTTCATTTATATTCGTTTGTTTATGTTCGTTTATATATTAAATTTAATATATAATCTTTAATTTATTTAGTTTGAATTCAAATAATATTAATTTAAGTTTTAACTTTTTTGAATTTATTTAGATATAAATTTTATCATCACTTTGTCCTATTTGAAATTTTTACCTTTTCACTTTTTCCCTAAAACCTTAGCCTCCAAGTGAAACCTTCTACAAATCGTGAAAGGTTAAAGAAGGTTGTGAACATGAACTCTAATTCCCTTCATTTCTTGACTCGTGTTCTCCCCAACAGGTAGGGTTCCTTTTGTTTTGTTCCTTCCTGGGTTCGATCTGCTCTTTTTCCCCATCCCCCATTAACCGGTTTCCTTTAGCAAGGTCATAAAAAGTATACATGTTTTATACACATTCAGTCTTCTGGTTTATGTTTTATAAATCGCATTATTTTTTTGTGGGTATTGCTTCTGGTTTCATCTTGATAAGGAAGACTCGATGAAGAACAGTCTTCTTCCATGGCCCTTGTATTATAGTATTTGTTAGCATCAATTTTGTAGCAAATGTTAAATTTTTTAATGAGAATGTCTGAACTAAAGAAAAATCATTGATCATGTATAATAAGAATTAGTGGCTCATGAGAAACAATAAGATAACTCAAGGACTTTATGTTCGTTTAGACATGCTTGTTTAGCCTATTCGTTTACATTCGTTTAGCATGTTAAAGAACGAACACGAACACACCTGATTGTTAAACGAATACGAACACACCTGATTTCTAAACGAACGAATACAAACACAAAGATTTTTGTTCATGTTCGTTCTGAAAAGCATATTTGAAAAGTCAAATTTAAGGATTTATAGTTTGAAATTTGATTATTTTAATAATCAATGTTGATGTCACAAAGGTAAAACTTTACGTGTTTTTGAACAATTGAATTTAAAAATGTATTTTCAAATGAAGAATTGAAAGAAATTATGTTTTGTTTTCATGTATTTTATCGCATAGTTGGATAAATATTTTATTTATAATGCATTTGTTCTTTGGATGTGTTGTAAAACGATCAAGAGAGTACTCGCATAATGTAACGAGATACATCTTGATTTTAATGTTTCGTTTTATTTTTGTCTCAGTTGATATTATAATACAGTTTTATATGGTTTTGAGAAAAAAATAATGTTTTTATTTTTGAATAAAATATAAATATCATAAAAATTAAAAAAAATATTGATATTAGTACCAAATTAACTATTTAAAATTTCTCATTTTTAGTGTATTTCTTTCATTCATTTTTTTTTGGTTTAATAATATAATTTTTATACAGATAATAATTAAGTATTTTGTTATAACTCAATGATTATCTTAATTATATTTTAGATTTTTTTTATTTAAAATGAAATGATTATCCTTTTTTTCATTATGTTTATCCGCAGTTAGTTACACGAATTCAAACATGAAACTTTAGTAAGTTGTACTTACGCACAATTTACTTTTGATCATGAATTTTAAGTAATATGCATAAATAAACAGTACTTCATGCATAAAAAATGGTTTTTAAAAATTATTGTCAAATGCTTTATAATATAGTATAGATTATTGCAAATTTAAATAGCAATAATACTATTCATACTTTTTGATAAGTTATCATCGAAATAATAATATTTGAATTATACAAAAATTGTTACATGTTAATTGTATATCATATATAGTACATAATTTCAGCAAGTAGATGGAAAAAGCAACTCGATTAAAAGACTAGTTACACACTTTTTGCTCATATCACGTAAACGGTCATTTACCAAACACTTACTTGGCAAGCGTTTACCGGTAAAATTTAGCATTACCACTTACTTACCAAGTAAGATTTTAGTTCACTAAAACGACATCGTTTGCAATAATTTATCCAGTAAGCGCTTACTGTCAGTAAGAGTCGTCGTCATCACTTACCGGGTAAGGCTCTTGGTCTTTGTCTCGCTCTTACCAGATAAGATTCTTAGTTCTTACCTTATTCATTCGGTAAGGTAATGTAATCTTATAAGCGCTTAAAATATTTGACAAGGATGGTGAAACATGCATTAATTCAAATACCATGAGAGGGATTTATTATAAGATCAGTTATAATTTACTGTAATCATAAAGAATAAACCATATTAATATATATCTGGCTTCAAGGTCCATGATCATGCAAATCCCATTAAGACTAACAAACGTATCATCGAAAGAAAAAAAGAACATAGCATGTCACTAAAAGCATCGAGAACTTTGCTCAAGACATAAAGGCGGAAAGGTCTTACAATATTGCCAAGAACGTAGCAAAACTTACAAACTCAACCTCGGAGAAGTCGACCATCATCGCTACCAGATATACTAACACCGAAGACAATTTCAATATGACGAGGAATAACAACATGACGATGGTAATAATAGATGCAAATAAGAGATTGACTTCACTTTCGTTGAACTTGAAAGGGATAACAAAAGAAAGAAAAGTGTTTATTATAGGAGCGGTAACAGATCCGAGATCGATACAACATTTCATCTTTCTTCAGTTCGACGTTAAAACCGTAAATATAAAATTTGTGTAGTCGGGAGAGATGTCTCCTCTTTCTTTTATGACATTTTGATTATGTATGTATATATATATATATATATACACACACACACATAAGGGACATAGACTTCCAAGACACTTACTTCCTAGAAAGTCCATTAGTAGGGACCATATAAGTTTTGCCGAAATGAGTCGTTGTAGGTTATTTGAAAGGTGACGCAAAATACCCTTTAAGTATTTTAGTAATTGCAAAAGTAGCCCTTATGATCTGAGTTTGCACCAAAATAGCCCTTCATGTATTGTTAATGGTGTCAATAAGCGATTTGAGAGTCTTTTAGGGTGTATTTGATATACAAATAAAATAGGACAAAATATAACATAACAACTGTTCAAAATTTAGCAAGATAAAATTAGACAAAACATAACATATAAAACAACAACTTTGCCCCTAACGAGTTGTTTAAATATTTTGATTAATTTATGTAATTTATTAAATTATAATAAAATAAATATTTTTTTTATAATAAAATATACCATTACAAAGTTTATTCAAGACGAGTAAAAAGTGTATGTAGTTTGCAATTTTTATTTAATACATGTTTTATATTATTTTCCATTATAAATATAATAATAAAATACATAAATTGATCAAAATATAGATATTGCATAAAAATAATGTCTTGAGAAACAATAAAATTAAAGCTGAAACCAGAGGGCCTTTATCCTAGTGGTATCGTAGCTTTTGACATCTTAGGAGGCCAGAGGTTCAAACCTCACCATAGATGGGGAGAATGTGTGAATTTATTTATTGCATTTGCGGTATATAAAATATTATATATTTCAAAAAAAAAATTAAAGTTGAAAGAGTATATAATATAATAATTAAAATTTTAAAAAATAACTAAAATATAACAAGAGAGGCATGTTTAATATTTTAGAAGATAATTTAAATTTTATTTTAAGGTTATATTAGTAAAATGTAGGTTTGCTCCATCTTGATTAATGAAGTGTGGATAGAACACGCTTATTCCACATAAAAATACTGTCAAAAGTGAAACAATGATATCTGTTATGTCCAAAAGTTATCCTTATGCATCTATTTTTGGAAAAGTCCTTGAGGTATTGTGCCGGTAACAAAAATGACCCCTTAAGCATTTTGTTGATAGTGAAAGTAGCCCTTTATGTTGGAGGTTTGCACCAAAACAACCCTTCATGTAACTATCCTTAAGCATGAAACGTTTCTTCCGTTTAATAGGAACCATACCGTATTATGGTTAACCGATTCCCTTCCATAAATCAATCAAAAACTATAAATGAAAAAAGTTTTCGCTTTCGAACAAAGCTCGAAACGGAAGACGCTTCTATTTAATACGAAGCCATAGATTCGATCTCAAAATGATAAAAACTTTTAACGTAAACAACCTAAGTCTCAATCGAAACTTTGTTAATCCTTTTAAACGAGAAGGATACTGGCTTTTCCAATACCGACACGTTAATGTTGTTCCAAACATCTGGTATCGTGCGAAGCGTCGCAATTTTCTCGGCGATTGCCATGTCTTCAGGAAGAACATATCCGAAAACCGTGTACGTCTTTTTCCACTCTTCGTGATTCGCTAGGCTGATAAAGAATTCTGGGCCGGAACCGATCCATGCAACTGAACCCCTTTCAATGATCGGACATTCTTCCGTCGGTATTTTCTTAAACGGAACTCCTTCGGCTTCAAGTGTTCCTTGAATCAAAGCAAACGGAGGTCCAAAAGACGCCTGAGAAAGAGGTTACAGATCATAACCGATGTTTCCATATCGTTATAACACAGAAAAACAGCGAAAAATAACATTTTTACTTGCCAAGAAAGCTTTTCTCAAATATAAGAGGACACGTGAAGCATTTCGAAAGAGGGTTCGAGAAATCTTACAGATTTCAAGTGATTTCCTTTAGAGTCCCAGGACTGACCACGACCTTCGGCTCGATAAAACTGGCAACCCGCACAATGACGCATCGTCAACAACTCAAGAATGTACATAACTGAACGTGGAGCACAATCGGGGAGAAGCTGCATTAAACCAGATAGCTTTTCAATAAGCACCCGAAGCTTTCCCCCCCTTTTTTATACCCCTTATTCTTTACACAAATCACCAAAAAACCATCTCCTTTTAGGTAATTTCACATTGTCATCTGAGCAAGTTTTTACCAAACGTAACCAGCTTATCAGCTAAACATAGCCTTTTGACTGTTGAGATCAAACATAACAAAATTCCAACATAAATATCTATATGAATTTCAAGTTATGAACTTATGAGCAGCATCATCGATGATGAATTCACCGTAACATCAATATAAGACCTACAAAGTCACAGTTGTAAACATGAAAAATTGGAAGGTTTTATAGTTTCCACTTACTTTTATGTGAAGAGTACCATATCTCGTTTCCAATTTCACGATCCCCTGCAATGAGAAAAATGAAAAAGATACACACATAATCGAATTTGTGTTGTAGCATTAAGATGTAAGTAGGCGTAAAACGAGAGCCAAAGTTGAAAATCTTTATTGCTTTGAGCAAGAAGATATGAGAGGCACGTTTGACTTTGAAGTCAAATGGAATGTTTTAAACTCCAAAATGTGGATTCGAATTCTTTGAAATTTTCGCAGAAAGATTCATTCCCACATTGAACTTAAAAGAAATGCTACACGGGGAAATATTTTGGTTATCAAGATGTAAAAGATTTCTTATCAATTTCGGAATTGAGAATTCATAAATTTGACATCAAAAGTCAAAATTCCAGAATTCTTGCATTTTGTACCACAAGAATCCATGGAAAATCAGGAGCTGTACAAACCGAAATGGTGAATGCACAAACACAAGAACTGGGCATACGACCGATAGACGTTTTCATGTACTGGCAAATGACCTATTTACCCTTTTGGGAACGGACTCCATACACATTAGCTGGTGCTATATCCTACAATAGTGTGTTAGATTACCTCCCCTTTTCCGTATATAAGGCCAGAAGTCCATATGTTGTCTCCTCCTTCTCGCTTATCCGGAGACAAAGGATCCTTTTGTTTCTTCAACCAACACTGTGACAAGAAAGTTTGACGATTACTTTCAAAGATTATGCAATCAGGGGAAATTCAAATGTGAACCATAAATATTTTGAGGACCCGTGAAATGGATAATAACCCCGTGAATGTTATTCATCATGAATATCATATCACCGCATTCATCATGAACATATGGTTCCCAAATTGTCAAAATATTTTATGGTTCTCATTTGAACATGCCTCTATGCAAGTATCAACATTGACATTCATGTCATATTCGTGTACCCCGTTTACCTTCATAGATCCCATCACATTTCTCTTAAAATCAATTAAATAAAAAAACCCACAGGCACATCTTCATTTCTCCAACCATAACAATGAGAAGATTGAAGTCTTAACTGCTTCATTTTGTCAGGCCATTTAACATTTCAACCTTTTCATTTCACCTTATATGATGCTACTCAAGTCTCGTTATAAATCGAATCCAGCGAAATAATTCAGAAATCACACAACAATTTACATCAAAAACCGCTCGAAAACCATGACTTTATCTTGAGTTATCCTAACCTAATCAAGATTCATATTATGGATAAAACTGAATCTAACAGTGAACTGGATCATACATATCCTAACCCACATGTGTTAAGATCAATAACCACACACACAATCTCAAATTCAATTGCTGGAAATGAAAAAGAACATGATGCTTATATAACAGAATCACAATTGAATTTGATCAATAATTCTAAAAAAAGTCAAAGATCGAAGGTCAAAATTTCAACTCACCTCGCCCAATTTTGACCCACAGGCATCAGGATTCCCACAAAACACCCAAGAATCGCACAAACAAGGCCCATCGTTACCATTACACATAGTCTTACAAGCTTCACAACATTCAATTGACGAATTGAACTTGAAATCCGAACCCCACTTCACAGCAGCACCCCACAACTCAAAGTTATCGATCCCTCTACAACACCCACCTTCATTTTCTTCCAGTTTTAGAGATTCAGCTTCTGAGATTGACGAAAAATTGCTGTTTTCATTGGGTCTCAAAACCGCAGTCATGAACATATAGACAAGGGAGCAAGAGAAAAGGCCCATCAAAAGGAGGGTCAGTGAGACCCAACGCGTTGGTTCAGAGTCGATCTGCCTTCGACCCATTAGGGTTTGATCACTGACGAACAAAACCCTGCAAATATTTCAAATAATTTGGGTTTTAATTGTAGGGTTGGTGTAAATTTGGAGGACGTCGATAACACGTTTGACCAAAAACTTGAAAACAACTCTATTTCTACGTAAAACAGATTCAAATGTAGAAAATTTGGGGAGTATATGCAGAGACATGGAAGATACTGATCCAAAAATGATTACATAATACATATATGTTCAGAAATAAAAGAAAATTAAAGCACGATTTTGGCTGTTTCCATTAGATTTGTTGTAGACTGTAGTTTTGTGATGGGAAAAAGGAATCTCAAGAACCTAACACGATCTTTGGTCAATGAAAGCTTTATGGGTTCCTCATGACATGTTTGCTCTAAAGCAATTTGATCCTTTTTTAGTAATAGAAATTCATAATCAATGACAAATTGTGTTTAAACTTCAAATGGAAAAGATCAAGATTTAGTTATCACCGACTCAATTCAAGACTCAATTTAATGGTTAACGTAGAAAATGTGATGTATAATAATTCAAACGGTGTTTTAAGACGATTTTTATTGATTTTGGAAACATACAACTATAACACGTTTTTTTTTTTTAATTCTATTAAAAGTCGTTTCTATGGTTATTGAAAATTTTGGATTAGGTTCTTGGAAGAAAATAATTACATATATGATCACCGTAGTTTCATTTTTGTTATGGATTTGGTCTCTCAACCTAACCCCACTAAAAGTTGCTTTATTAGGTTAGGGGTAATATTATCATTTTTTTTTCTTTAAAAACAAAATAAAAATGTACAATATATATCATATTCACAAACTCGTCTTGCAATCTGGTACTTCCCATCAGTCCACACCTTCCCCTAGACCTTGATCTCCGTCATCCTCCCCTAACCCCCTTCATCGTCTTCAACGGCTCCAAGCCACAATGGCAACCTCAATTGATATCCGTTTACACATACATATAACAACAGGCTGACTTGCCTCCTTCCCCATCAGTTCTTCTCGGTTTGACCTCCCCACCACAATGGCGACCTCCATCGAAGCAAAGAGGGTTGTCGGAGAAAGTGAAAGGTTTCGGTTAGGAGTTTTTGTCACTAGAAATTACAATAACAACCAACCAAAATCAAACCTGAAGACTTCTAATATAACCAAGTATGTATATTGTTATTATTGTTCAAACCTTGTAAATAGAACATAATACTTAAAGCATACAAAGATTCATACAGTAGAAGTTGTGAATTAAAAGCATCAAACATAAGTACTCAACAACACCAAGCCATTGAGATAATAATAATTTAATTTCAAGTACTGATTTATATCATGTTAAAGTTTAAATGTGAATCCAAGTAGATTGTTGTGGATTTGACGTCATTCCTCGTCAACGTTCCAATCATGTCCTCCGGCAAACCCTCCTTTCTCCGATGGTGACCCACAACATCGGTCGTCTTTTCGGCCACCCACAAAAGCCCTAAAATCAATTCCATGTCAAAAAACCATACCCAAATCTTAAAATACAAAACCCTTATCCAAACCCAAAAAAAATCATAGAAAAGTGCGAAGAGTTAATGAATTTGCTAAATTCTCACATTATTATTGAAAGCAAACTATAGGCTTTTTATAGCCATTACACAGACAGAGGACAAGAAAAAAACCCCACCTACACATGATCTGCAATGTAGGTTCTCCTAAAAAAAACCTAACTAATAGCAAAAAAAAAAGGATCGAGTGTATAATATCCAACAAGAAGAATATGGAGCTGGAATAATCTTTGATTCTCGTTGATTTTCGATTGTTTCCTTCAACCAAAGATTCAACAAACTTCATCTTAATCTTTTCTAGAGGTAGAAGAGTCAATGTCTGGCGAAAAGAACCTTGTCGATGTTCATCGTTTGCCGCATCATTCCTTATGTGTCAAAGATATAAAGTGAGTGCACCGAAAAAGAACAGGAACGTTCTTAAACGCACACACAAAAGCAAACTTGAAAACGACGGAGATTTGAGGTTTTAACATAGGTTTGATGGAGATGGAGTTTGAACAATGGTGATCATTGGGTTTGATGGAGCTTGAGTCTCAAAAGCGGTGGCCATTAGCTTCCATGGAGATATTCTCACAATGTTGTTGTGGTGGCCATTGTTGTTTGCGTTTTATGGTGATTAATGGTGAAGAGGACGAATGATGAACGGTGAGGGGTTTTGTGGTGGCCAGAAAACTAAAGGTGCTGGACAGATGATGAACGGAAACATGTGGCCAAAGAGAGGGAAGTTGCTGGTGGCAAATGCTGTCGAAAAGCTAGAGGTGCCTGCGACCGCGAGAAGGGTCATCAATGCCGGAAACAAGGGGACTGATATAAGACGATGAACATTTTCTAGATATACTTTTATATAAATACTAAATATATAACAAGTATAATTAAAAATAATAAAAGAAATATGTAAAAAGGCGATATTACCCCTGACTTAATGAAGTGTCAGTTAGTGGAGCTAGTGCAGGGGACCCAATCCATAACAAAAGTAAAACCATGAGGACTATGTATGTAATTATTTTGTTTGGGGGACCCAATACAAAAAATTTAATAAGCATCGAGACAAATTTTGTAATTTACTCTAGAATTAGTTATCCACGATAATCAAATCCAACTTATAAACCATTTCATCACATTCATTTGGAATGTTTTTTTTTTTAGTTTTGACTTCAACTATTTTATATTAGAGCGAGTTAAACAAATTGTCTCATCAGAGATGTATTGAAACTCTACCAAAAACCATTACTGTTCTAATTTGGTATGAAATACCCGAAGGTTTAATTTTTATTACCCTCATGCAGGGACAGACCCAAGTAGTGCCAGTGGTGGCACCTGCCACCATTTCTTTTCTCCGTTGTAGTGTAAATTTGTTGTGTTCCACCATATATTACTATATTCTTTTCTTATAGTCAAATGGTGTCAACGTTTGAGAAAAAATATGTGTCCGTTCATGCCCTCGTGGTCCCTCCCGCTAACTTTCGTCTAACAAGGTTCGTTCAAGTCCCCGCGTGCATAGCAAGTGACGACAATTTTGTCATCTCATCTAAAGCCCTCATGAGTAGGCTTGCTCATTAGTTGACATCCATTATATGTGAGGGGAACCGAACCGGTCTAATCATTCATTGGATGTTAGATTTTGTCAAATGATCTGATCCGATTAAAGTTGGATAACCGATCCAATCCAATCCAATTGATGATTGGAACGGTTCGGTTCCATCCATTAAATATTTTATTGGATATCCAAATGGATGATCCGATAAGATTAGATTCATCAAGTGTGTTAATTCAATCCAATTCTCCGACAATAATACAAATTAATTAATAACCTTTAATATATGTTAAAACCAACATAGGGGGAGTTAAAAATTCAAAACCTCACACAAAAACAAGTTCCGTTTTAAGCAATTTGATAATAAATCAATTGAATGATAGTTAGATAATGGTTGGATGGATAACTAGATGGTCATCGGATGATTAATTGGAAGTTGTTCATTTTTGGTCGGTTATGGACTGCCATTCAAGAACTGACCGATCCAAATTGGATGTTGAAATTTTCAATCCGGTCCGATTCAATTATGGTCGGTCGGTAATAGTTGAATCAATCGATTCTAATTGGATTGGTTGATTTTTCTACACACCCCTACTCGTGAGTAGCACCATTAAAATGGTAGAACATATGATATCTATCCTTGTATCTAGGATCTTGATCATGAAATTTATCTCACGCACATGTTCATCACAATCAACCAAATCAAACAACTTTACCTAACCTATAATCTAGACTTTACCAAACATCTTTGTAAACATCCCATGATAAAAGATTTGGAAGCTAATTATCATAGGGGGAGTTTACTGTACATAGGTTGGAAAAACGTCAACACACAAGGTTGTCACTATAAAGGTGAAAAAGAGCTTATGACACAACTTTAAGCTTATCATAAAGCTCCTAGACATTGATTTGCTCGTATGACTCGAAGCTGCCACATTGCAGATGCTATTAAAGACGAAGAGACGAACATGTTGGCACTCTATAGAGCTATGGGTGCTAGGTTTTGGGAATTCGTATGGACTATTATATAGCAGGGTTCATCAAAATTAGTTTAAAGGGTGGAACACAAATGCTACTCACACAGGCTTTAAAAAATGACAAAATTGCCCTCAAATCCTATTGGGGGGGGGGGGGGGGGGTTAACAAACCGCATTAAGTGAAAGTTAGTGAAAGTGAGCATAGGGGTAAGAGATTAAATCCCGGGGTGTCAAGTACCAAACCAGAACATGAATGACTTCTAATCGAGTTTCAGCAAACCTCATAGACGATTTACATAATTCACTTTTTGTTTTATGTTTATTCCGGTTCTATAATTGAAACATGACATGATATTGACGGTTGTTACAAGGAACATTTTTGTTGAGGGTCATTTCACCCAAAATTACGTGTTATTGGTGGTTGTCGAATGCATATTTTTGTTTAAGGGGCATTTCATGTATAAAACAAAAGATAAAGGTGATTAGTGAAACTTTTCCAAAAGTAAAAAGAAAAACCGTCCGTTAATAAACAAAAGTTGAAATTTAAGGGGGTAAAAATGCAACATATCCCCTGCTGAAATTAGGGTTTTTGATGCTACCAAACAGCAGTGTTTAAATTGATCTGCTCCGCAGCCTCATATCTCTCCCTCTTTCTATCCCCTTTCGCGCAATACTCTCGATTCACCATGGCTGTTGGGTACTCTCTCTCTCTCTCTCTCACTCACTCTATTTGATTTCTCTTTCTGCATGCATTCTTGATGAATGATTTGTTCATGTATTTGTTCAATCTTGCAGAAAGAACAAGCGGATTTCCAAGGGAAAGAAGGGTGGAAAGAAGAAAGCGTTAGTTTTTGTTTCTGTTTTCTACGATTTAATGAGATTTTTTCCGTTGATTTGTTTATGTTTTTTATAATTTCGTATTTTTGATTTCTAAAATTTGCATATTAAACAGAGCCGATCCGTTTTCGAAGAAGGATTGGTATGATATCAAAGCGCCATCTCTGTTCAGCACTAGGAATGTTGGCAAAACCCTTGTTACACGTACTCAGGGTACAAAGGTAAGTTATTGTTCTCATTGTTTTTTAAGATGTGCTTTTTATTTCTCATTAGTAAGTTATAGGTAAACTGATTTTAGTGAGCTCAAATTTGACGTTTAGAAATCGGGGTTTAGGTGTTCAGATGGTTTTGGACCATTTTCTGATTTAATTTTATTGGGAAATTATTATAGTTGAGTCAATTTGGTCGAAGTCATGATTTTTGGGTACTCTGATACATCCCGACACATGTATGCATTTATTTACTACTTGTAATGTCAAAAGCACTACTATCTGTTTCATAATCATATGAATACATTTAATTTTATAGAACAAGCAGTTCTATACAATTTAGTGGGACTGCAATTTGCTCCGTTTTCTTGGTCAATAGTCTGCGGAGATTTTTTAGAAGTATATAAATTACGGACCCTTCAAGTTTGTATGGGACTTCGAATTTTTTTTAGAAAATGCAGTTTAGGAATCCATTTTCTTGAAAAATTATTGATTTTGGCCCCTTCAAGTTCTAATAGGACTTCATATTTCCTTGAGAAAATGCAGTTTTATGAATCCATTTTCTTGAAATTTTTAGTGATTCTGGCCCCTTCAAGTGCCCACGAGACTTTATATTTTCTTGAGAAAATGCAGTTCTAGGAATTCATCTTCTTGAAAAATTTACTGATTCTGGCCTCTCCAAGTGCTCTTTGTTTGCCTCATTTTGAAACAAATGTTTCTCTTGGACACTCTAAAACCATAAAAACCTTAAGGCTTTCAAAGGTTTTGACACTTCATATATATATATATATATCCATATGTGTGGGCTAAGGCAATAGAAATTGTAAGTAATATTTTTTGTTGTCAGATTGCTTCAGAAGGTCTCAAACATCGTGTGTTTGAGATATCTTTGGCTGACCTCCAAAATGATGAGGATCATGCCTACAGGAAGATCCGCTTGAGAGCTGAGGATGTTCAAGGGAAGAACGTTTTGACCAACTTTTGGGTATGATACAATGTGTGAAGTGTGAACACACATTTTCATTTCTTTCCTATGATCATTTCTCCATATTCAGATTCATTTGATTTTCTTTTATAGGGCATGGACTTCACTACCGACAAATTGAGATCTCTTGTGAAGAAATGGCAATCTTTGATTGAGGCCCATGTTGATGTGAAAACCACAGACAGCTACACTTTGAGGATGTTCTGCATTGGCTTTACCAAGAAGCGTGCCAACCAGGTGAAAAGGACCTGTTATGCACAATCTAGCCAGATTCGACAGGTAAATATCTAGAATTTAACATTATTTTTTCTTGTCACTATAGCTGCTTTGCTGATTACTTGCTGAACATGTTGGTTAATTTCTATTCTTGATGGATTATATTTGAGAAATTGCAATCAAAATGCTTCAATATTCTTATATTTTGCCAAAAGAAAGCAATTTTTATCGAAAGGAAATTATACTTAAATATGGTTGGAGTGTCAGCCATTGGGTTTCATGGATCTAACTTGCATTTGATAATTGTTATTCCTGCTCACTGTAACGAATTCACCACCCTTCTTCTTTTCAATTTCTTAGATTCGTCGCAAAATGAGGGAGATAATGGTAAACCAGGCACAATCTTGTGACCTGAAAGAACTGGTGCAAAAGTTCATCCCGGAGTCAATTGGCAGAGAGATTGAGAAGGCTACATCCAGCATCTACCCTCTACAGAATGTCTTTATTCGCAAAGTTAAGATCTTGAAGGCGCCCAAGTTTGATCTTGGCAAATTAATGGAGGCAAGCTATCTTATTTGAGCTCATATTTTACGATTATTAGGTTTTTGAAAGAAAATTCAAATTACATTTGCAGTCGAACCCATTTTCCATTGCTATTCCCATCATCTGGTTTTAAAGTTTGGTGCATGTGATCCAACATTTCATTCTAATTTATTTTCAACTTTTTTGATGTGTAGGTTCATGGAGATTATTCAGAAGATGTTGGTGTTAAGATGGAGAGGCCTGCAGAGGAGGAGGTACCAGAAGCAACTGAGGTAATTGGTGCCTGAAAGAGTTACTTAATTATTCTCTTTTTTACAACCCAGACGTTAAACTTTCTGTTTCGAGACGTTAGTGATGTGTTTTTCTCCTTGAATTAGATGTGCAATTTTGTAGTTGTATGTCTTTGAGGATTTGCTGTATATTTTGAAGCCATATAAAGCTTTATCATGCTTTTTGACTTCTAATTTTATGCAAAAGTTTGCTCAGACGTTCTTTATACCATAATCGTCAGCCTTAATCCCCATTCAGTCAACATTGTTGTTTTAATGCAATGAATGGTGGTGGAGAAACCTAAATGTTGAATTTAGGGGTCATTTACTAAACACTTACCTGGTAAATGTTTTCCAGTAAGATTTAATTACATCACCAGGTAAAGAAATTTATTCAATCAAAAGTACATTGTATGTAATAATTTACCTGGTAATTGCTAATTGGATAAAAGTTGTCAAAATCACTTATCGGGTAAGACTATTGGTTTTTGCCATTGCTCTTACCAGGTAAAATGCTCAGTTCTTGTCATGTTCATCTAGTAGGGTACTCTGCGTTTATCGGCTAGACATTTGGTGAATGGCCACTTAGTGTTCATGCGATCAGATCAACATGTTTGGTGTGAAATTAGATTGACACAAGTTAGTAGACAAAACACTCTTTCTTGTGCGGGCTTAATTGGCTAGAATTGTTCTTGTATTTACCATTGGATGTGGAATTTGGAATTAGTTTCTAAAAACATTGCATGTTTGTGGGACTTGGTAGAATTTGGAATTGGCTTCTATTCTGATCCCTTGGTTGGTTCTTATGGGGTAGTTGGTATTTCAGGTATGTTATAGCATTTGTTTGTAATAATATTTTAAAATATGTTAAAAACGTTTGTCTTGAAATGATCTTTTAATTATAATTTATTTTTATTTATAAAAAATTGAATAATTTCATCAAAATCGCACAAACCAAACAAACATAAAATTCTAAACCCTTGCATGAAAACCAAGAAAATTCGTTATACCTAGGAGTAGGAAATTCTCTATCAACCAAACAAGTGATCAAATCAGATTCAGTTTTATTCCAAATTTCTTTGATTTAAATTCATCTCACGTATTTCATTCCTTAACAAAGCATTCTATAAACCAAATGTTAGAGCATCTTTGACAGAATTTCTAAAATAGAGAAAATGAGGTTTTTGTTTTTTGTTTTACTTCAACAGATTTTTTAACTAGAGAAAATGAGGTTTTTGTTTTTTATATTATTTCAGCAGATTCTCTATATTATTCTTTGAAATAAAAAAAAACTTCAAATTTAAAGAATTTTCTAAAACTTAAGTACGGAGAGATAAATATTTTGTTCATACCCACTAATAAGATTAAATATTTTATATAATTTTTTTAAAAAGTATATTACGTCAAAATTTTTTTAATAATATAATAAATATTAAAATGTTCAAAATATAAATATAACTTTTTTGAGATTTTAATTTTTACTTCTCTATTTTAAAGAAATTATAGAAAATCCGTAACCGTAAAACGATTAAATAAACAGAATGTGGATTCATGTTGAACTCAAGACTTGAAATGCAAAACTTGATTGTTACATTACACATGAGTCTGGGATCTTATGCGAATATAATCTACACAAACTTGGTACATTTCAAAAGCCATTTGTGATCAGAAAGATCCTCAAATTTGGCCCGAATGATCTCCGCTGTCATCGATCTCGTTCTCCAAGTCGAAGTCCTCCTCATCAGGATCCATCGATCCACCAATCTCCACCTGCCCACCCGTCGTGGTGGAACCTTCACTGGGAACCTTCGCCTCCTGTATGATCCGGTTGATTTGATCAACACTTTGCAGCGATTGGTCACCGCTGCCATTCTCGTAGTTTGTTTTCTCCCCTTCAACCAGCTCTTTCGGCATGTTCTTCAGAAACCATGGATGTTTCTTGATTTCCGCTATCGTGATCCTCTTAACCAACAGTTTGAAAACTTCAGTTACCAAGATTCAACTATCCCACAGGTATTCGATTATAGAAGTAATGTGACACAAAGAGGAACATATTTTCGAAAAAGGAGGTACCTTGGAGGGGTTTGCCACGAAGACATGAGACAGAAGGTGTCTACAGTCGGCAGAAACACGCACATAATCAGGTATCGAGTACTGAACGCTCACGATTCTCTACCAAAAACAACAAAGATTTTAATTTTTAGAGTCTCGTAAGGTTCGAGGAAAGTTCAAATGAGAACCATAAATATTTTGAGAACCTGGAGACCAACTATTTCATGTATTATTAATCATGAATAACCATGAATAACCATGAAGAATCAAGAATATCATGTATTATTCGTCATGAATAATCATGAATATCATGCATTTTCATCGTGAATATCTATCACGACATTCATGATGAATAAAACATAAATAGTTGGTTCTCAAATTCTCAAAATATGTACGGTTCTACAAGGGTAATATGATATTATCATCTTAAGGTCACAAGTGCTCGATTAAAGAATAAGTTCGACTGTGAAGGTCCTCGATTGAAAGTATTAGATTTGCCCCGAAAATCAAAGGATCTCACCCCGATCGTTTTACGAAAATTCCTAGGATCTTCAGGATCCTCAAAAGGGTAAGCTCCAACCAACATAACATACAGAGTCACCCCACATGACCAAACATCTGCAATCTAACCCACAAGATTTACAATCTTATCACGGAAAAAGATTAAAACTTTAATTACACGATAATCATATTTAACAACGCAAAACTGAAATACCTTTCCATCATATTCTTTCCGAGATAGGACCTCAGGGGCGATGTAAGCTGGTGTTCCAACTGTTGATTTTGGTTGCGAGTGCAATAAACCAGACTGCCCAAAACAAACCACCAAATAAAGAACCGAACAACGGAAACAAATAAAGATGCAAACTTTACTTGAAAAGATGACATTTTGAGTTTTATTGAACCTTTGAATAACCAAAATCGCATATTTTGAGCCGGGGACTTGGACTCCCGTCAAGAAGAGTGTTCTCTAGTTTCAGATCCCTGTGACAAATTTCCTGAAATTAGAGAAAGAATAATGTAAGTAGCGGTTCTCATAATCCGCGTTGCTATAAAGATATTGTGTTTGTTTTACCATGGAATGGCAGTAGCTGACTCCGGATATAAGTTGTTGGAAGAAAAACCGAGCCTGTATTCAAGAAAAAGATTTCCCAACTGTAGTTCTTGCAGATTGGCAGCTATTTTGCACCAGAAATTTGGAAGGAACTGAAGATGATGAAGTTAGAAATGTGTGCAAACCTCGTCTTCACTAAATCGGCCAGCACTGGTGATCTTACTAAAGAGTTCACCACCAGCTGCATATTCCATGACTATAGCCAAATGTGTCCGAGTTAACGACACCTGCATTATTGGGATTTCAAGAACAACGTGCTTTAAGTTCGCAACATGTTTTATTTATGAAGTTTTCTACATAATAGCACAACTTTTCTATAAAGTTTATGATCATGTAGGATTCCACATGGTATCAGAGCCATTGAGCCAAGGTCTATCATTCTAGAGACTCGACACTTTGGGACAATTTGTGCCCGTGTAGCCTCTGTTGGATGGGGCCATGTTGGAGTCCAACATCAGCTAGACTTGGACCATTTCCTCTTGATATATGTTGGAACATTCCTTTCTCTCCTGAAGGGATCTTGTGCACGTATTTTCACAGGTCTTCATTGTTGTATTAGTTTTAGTCCATTATTGCTATAATGGCTTACACAAGCTAGAAGTTGAAACTTACCTCCTTGAACCTGACGATGTTTGGATGCCTTAACGATCTGTGGTTAATGATTTCCCTCTGAACATTTTCATCAATCTGAAACAAGAAAACAACGTTTTCGGTCGAAAATTCTTATTGAAATGGAAATAATGAGATGGTTTACATTCAAAATTGCTAGTTTGAGTTCAATCACATGGAGCCAGACTTCTTTGTTTACCTAAATCGACTAGAAACAAAATGGATGACACTTAACCTACCTGTGATCTAAAAATCAATCTTTATAGTTACCGATTTGCATATTTCTTACTTGATCATCTCCAAGTTACTGAATTTCTAAAATGGGATTTAAAATCATCAAAGAGTGCAATCTACCACTCTAGGGAGTCGAAAACAAGGGCAATCTGTAGTCGTCTAGTCCTCTCTCCACCCTCTAGAACAACCTGTGCCGGTCTAGCCTCCATTGGAGGGAGCGTGCTAGAGTCTTGCTTCGGCTAGACTTGAACCAATTATCCTCAATATATGTTGTAAACTCCCTTCTCTCTTTTAGGGCTTTTTTGAAGAGAAATCTAACAGAGTTTTATAGATTCTCAAATGGTATTAGAGTCAAGGTCTACCAATCTATGGACTCGACAAGTGGGGCAATTTGCAGGGCTCTAGTCCCCTCTCCACACTCTAGAACAATCTATGCCTGTCTAACCTCCATTAGTAGGGGCTTGTTATAGCCCCACTTTGGCTAGATTTGGACCTATTATCCTCGATATATGTTGCAACCTCCCCTCTCGAAGCTCTTTTTAGACAATCTTCTAATAGGTTCCATGTATTCTCAAGGAAGAAAGCTCAAAATCTTGAAATTTGCTCAAGGAAGAAAGCTCAAAATCTTGAAATTTGGTTGACTTGAGGATGGTCAAACCCTAGTCTACAAAAAAAAGTTCCATCTTTACCAAACTTTGCTGTTAATTCTATAACATAACACCAAAATCTGAGCTCAAACTTAGGAACAAAGAGAGTTGACTCAACAATGTGAACCATCAATCAGTGAAGACAACACAACAAAATTAAAGAAAATATTTATCCTTAAATCTTGATCATCCATTTCAGCAAAAAAGAACAAAGGAATCCTAATCAAAAGCTATAATAACCTTGAAACATAAAATCAAACAAAACCCATCAAGCAATTCCCACAAAAAACAGTAAAACATCAAACAGATTATGCATTATCCATCAAAGAAATTACCTTTTTCCCTCTTTCAATGTATTTGACTGCAAACAGCTCTTTAGTCTTCTTATCTCTAACCAGCCTTGCAACCCCAAAATTCCCAGAACCAAGCTCTTTCAATGGCTCATATTTCTCCTCCATTGTAGCAGCAGAAAGAAATCCAAGAAATCCCCAAAATGTGCGAACCCAAATCTTCAATCTCAAAACCCACCAAAAAGGAAGTGAAATTGAACAAAAACCCTAAACGAAGATGATTCAGAAAGCTCTTTTCAGAGAGAAAGATGGTGATTGGTTGAATGAAGACATTGAGAATGGGTTTTAGGAGTTGTATTATAAAGAGAAAGGGTCATTGTTCATGGGGATATTTAAATGAGTAGCTTAGAAGTTAGGAAAGGAGTTCAAATTCAAAGGATGTAATGAGGGTTTTGTTTTCAAGGATTAAAAAGGGAATTGAATAAGATTTCGTTAAGCATCATCCCTTTTTAAAGACGATCTATTTCAACTTGAATCTTGATCGTGACATTTTATTTGATTTTTTGTTTTTATTCTTTTCATGAAATAATGAGTGAGCTACAAACAAAATCCCTAAACTTTTGGTGGATTTCACTTTTTTTTCTTTGGTCCAAACTCAAACGAAATTCGAGAAATGTTAAAAGTCGTAACAATCAATTTTGTATGTGAAACAATATATGTGTATAGAACGAACGAGATTGTTTCACGTGTGAAACAAGATTTGTCCAAAAAAGGGAAGAAAGAGAATGGATGACAGAGGGAGGGACATCGAACCGCGACCGAAACGTTTTGTTCTTGAAAACTATTTTTTATTAACCTGGACATTCAACCTGCTATGCGAGCCAACTAATCCCAAGACGACCACCCGCTTCGTAGATACCCCAAAGTCACCGCATTTGAACCTTCGTAACCACAAGAGGATTCTTATTCTTTTTTGTATTCGAACCTGGGACTTCGTGACAGTTTTGACCTTTGCAATCTAAGCTTAAACCAATAGCACAACACCCTTGTGGTTTGTTTTGGTAAGTTGTGGGTGCAACATAGAGATTATAGCAGATTTATTGAAAAAACAGGATAAAAATACAATAGAAACAACTAAAATTCATATGATTTATATGTATAAATGAAAGTCATCTCCATAAAATTCCTAAACTTGCTGTTGGGAAATTTCATTCAAATATCAAGATTTCAAATTCGAACTTTTATTTAAACCAAATGATATGAAATAGTGTTCGATTGGTTTGAGTTTAGGCTCCAAAAATCAAAAGTGTTTGGAGGTCCCAGGTTTGAATCTAGGGAGAAATAAAGATCCATTTGTGATAATGAATGTTTAAATATGATGACTCTAGACTACCAACAAAATGAGTGGTTGTCTGAAATTAGTCAGTTTGCATAACGAGTTGGATATTTAGATTTTTTTAAATCAGAAAGAAACAATAATATAAATATACCGACAATTAAAACAAAAATAGCTATATAATTAATATATATACAACGTAATCATATATAAATATATATATATATATATATATATATTTTAATATAAAACAATTTTTTTTTTGTGAAAATGTCTTTAAAGGAATTATTCCATCATATTCTTGATGAGTTTAAATATTATATTTGTATTGACGAAATTTGTTTCTGAAAATATGATTTTTAAATCATTTTTTATTTATTAAATTTAATTAATAAATAAATAATCCACCATTACGTGGCCATTGCTACATCTCATCATATCACTGGTGCTCCAATCATCCGACTGTATCGTTCCCACCATGCCGTCAGCAAACACGTCTAATTTTACTATTTCTGTTTTCATCAAATTAATGATTACTTACTTTTTTAAAATAAAGTTCAAATTTATAAAAAATTGAAAATAAAGTTAAAATAAAAAACACGAAAATAACCAAATCATGTGTAATTATACTGAAATCACATGTCATTACGGGACACGATTGACGCAAGAGTGAGCGGGCGACATCATATTTAACAACCCCAATCTTAAAATTACCAAATATTATAAACAAAAGCCAAACCGGCACCAAGAGTAAACCAATATAAATGGTGAAAAACCACTTATTAATATTCATAAAGCAATCCTCTAAAACAGAGCCTCGAACCTATACTGACACAAGAAACGAAGAAAAATCGACAGGGCATCAAACAGTGTTTGACGTGACTTTTACCATGACTAACGTCGTGCCCGGAGTCACTTGTGCCTAAGGTGACTTTTATAGTGACTAATGTCGCGTCCAAAGTCGCTTGGGCGACTATTTGAGCTGCACAATCCCAAACTCTCCTCAAATGCGGATTTTCCCAACCAGGCTTTCCAATGTCGATCTAAAGATACCAAAAACTCAAGAATCAAGTCTTAAACCTTTTAAAAACAACAAACCCAATAGCAAATGTTTATTCTAACTATATATATATATATATATATATAGTGTGAGTAATAATATTTGAACTCATAATTAAGAGTACAATTTAAAAATATGCATTTATTATTAAAAAGTTAACACTTATTTCAGAACAAACTGAAAGAAAAATATGCACACATATTTTACCAATGGAATAATTTTTTTTCACCCAAAAGTTTACTTTTATAAAGTTCTTCAAATTTAGAAAACTCGTGTACCTCGGTGGTAGACATGGGCCCCGCATGAACGAAAAGCTCAAAGTTTTGATCATTTGTTTCATTAAGTGATTACTAAAAATAATACAATATCTTGTAACCGCATCTTTTAATACAACCTTTTTAAAATAAAAATATAAAAAATTTAATTTTTTTCATTTAATTTTTTTTAATATTAACTATATTTTAAAAAATTTATATTTTATATATTAAAAAACTTTTATAAAAAATTATAATATGTTTAACTTTATTATAAACACAATTAGAATAATATATCTCTCTCCTTTATTTAAAACTTAAAAATTTCTACATTTTTTTCTTTATTTAATCCAATGATATAACTTACATTAAACAACCACCCACCGTCTTTACTTTATTTAATACAAACTATTGCATTTATTTATTCGATCCCAAACTCATTTAATATATAAAAATAGTTTAATTTAAATAAACATATATTCATTTGATACTAGCTCTCCATCCATATGATATAAAGAAATATAAAATTTAACTGGTGTCCGATTGGTTTAAGTTTCGGTTCCAAAGATCAAAAGTATTTGGAGATCTTAGGTCCAAATTAATTCAATGAGGAATAAAAAAATTTCTTATGGCTACAGAGTTTCAAATACGGTGACTCTGGGCTACCCGCAAAACAAATGGTCGTTCTGAGATTATTCGGCTCGCATAACAGGTTGGATATCCAGATATATATATATATATATATATAATTTTAATGTAGATAGAAAATGAGTCATTTCAATACTAAATACTCATCTAAATAAAGCAAATTAGTATTAGAAAGAATGGGACACTAAATTTCAACTAAGAAATTAGAGAATTATAGTTCTTTTACATTATATATGAATGAGTTATATAAAAATGGAGAATAGATTGAAAATATGTGTATGTGAAAAGCATACATGATAATGTAATTGTCTAATATATATATTAATAGAAACTCACTAATTATATTAAATCCAGAAAATAAAAAGATATCAAGTTGAGTTGTGTTTATATAGTAACTCATTTCAACCCAATACCTACGATTTAAAATCTTTACAACTCGATTAGAAATCGGATTGATCCGAATTGAATTATTTCGTGTTGGATTAAATGGTTTTATCATGTTTTTAATCGCCTCTACTTTCAAAACATATTTAAAAAAAATAATCCCAAGGAATTGGTCAAATTCAGGTGGTTAATATGGTTGGAGAATTCAAGTATTCAATAATGATTTGAATTTTTGACTTTTTGACTTTTGACAATTTCCTGCCAATAATTAATTTTAGGAGTAAATTGTGTAAAACAAAACAAAATAAAAAATATGTCCTTTGTGTCTTGAGTAAATTACGTTTTTAGTCCCTGAAGTTTGTTGAAAATTGTTATATTTGTTTTTATGTTTTTAAAATTACGATTTTTGCACATATAATTTATAATTCACTTGTTTTTGTCCTTATGATTTTATAATTTATTTTATTTTTGTCTATGTGGTTTAAAGTTTTTTCTTATTTTAGTTCCTCACGTTTAAAGATAAAAGTTAAACTCAATGATAAAAATAATAATGAATTATAAATCATAAGAATTAAGGCTGTAATTTCAAAATTACAGACATAAATTTCATATTTTCTTAACAAATAATTTTCTCTTATTTAATTAAAAAATAATTTTACTCTTAATTATATAAAGGAAAAAATTTATTGACTTCAATTTGCGGATGACGCTCTAATTTTTGGAAAATGGTCTCGTAAAAATCTTGTATCTCTTACTAATATTCTTAACTGCTTTCATGATGTTTCAGGACTGCGCATTAAYTTATCCAAATGCAATCTCTTTGGTATTGGTGTCTCGGAGGCAGAAGTCAATAATATGGCAGTTATGTTAAAGTGTAAGGCCTCTTCCTTTCCTTTCTTTTATCTGGGGCTTCCTGTTGGAGGTAACATGAACAAAAAAGCTTCATGGTCCGTCGTGGAAGATAAATTCCTTAAAAAGCTTTCAATTTGGAAGTCTCATTGCCTCTCCATAGGCGGAAGATATACTCTAATTCAGTCGGTGTTATCTTCTCTTCCGCTGTTCTTCTTTTCCCTGTTCAAAGCGCCCAACTCTGTTTTAAAAACTTTGGAATCTATAAGGAGAAGATTTTTTTGGGGTTTTAAGGAGGATGAAAAAAAATTGCATTGGGTTGCTTGGGAGAAAATTTTGAGCCCTAAGTCGACTGGTGGTTTGGGTATCGTTAGCTTAAAAACGAAAAATGTTGCTTTGTTAGCAAAATGGGTATGGAGGTTCTTGTCCAGCTCTAATGCGATTTGGAAGGATGTTATTTCTGAATTTTATGGTGAGGATGGTTGTCTTTTTTTCAAATAGGCCTTTGGTTGGAAAAAGCGTTTGGGTTTCTATTGTCAACACTTGCAAAAACGTGGAAGTTGCAGGTCAGAATGTCATCCTTTCGTTTACAAAAAAGGTTGCTAAAGATTCTTCTTCTCTTTTTTGGAAAGATGCGAGCATCGGACAAGGCTCAAAGTTGAAAGACCTTTTCCCCAGACTTTATGTCTTGGAAAGGAATAAAAATACTTCTTTCAAAGACAGATGGACTTATATTAATGGTTCTTGGAGTGGTGCTTGGGATTGGAAAACAATGATTAGGGGTAGAAACTTAGATGATCTTCAAGCCCTAGAAAGGCAACTCTCTCTTGTGGATTTCAATACTTCGGGTGAGGATATTTGGTTGTGGAATTGGAACAAGAACGAGATTTTTCTCGGTCAACTTATTGTCCAAATTAATTCAAGGGGCGGTTGAGACAAATGTTGGAAGCAATGATCCGTTTTTTTGGAGTCCTTTAATTCCTAAGAAGGTAAACATCTTCACTTGGCGCTTCCTTAAAGAGGCTATTCCGGTAAGATTCAATCTTTCAAAAAGAGGAATTCCGTTACAATCTTTGGAGTGCATCTTTTGCGGCAAAGGTGTTGAAACTTTGGACCATTGTTTCTTCTCTTGTTCGGTGGCAAGCATTCTTTGGAGGAAAATATGGGCTTGGTGGGATCTTAAAGCCCCGCGGCTTTCCTCGGTGTCTGATTTTACAATGTTGATCAAACAAATAGGTACTCATCGTAAGGTTGGAGTGATTTTCTTATCAGTGTGCGCCGTGGCGCTTTGGCAACTTTGGAAGTGGCGGAATGAAATTTTTCATACTAAGGATGATGCGGAAGCTAAGAAGAGAGGTGTAGACCCATTCCCAGATGTTCAAAATTTTTCCAAGCTTTGGATGGGGAACAGGAATCATAAGTTCCATCTTAGTTGGGATAGTTGGTCTTCTTCTCCTTACCTTGTTTAGTCTACTTGCTTGTCTCAGGCTTGGGTTTTGCTTTGGCTTTAGTTTGGGGATGTCTCTTTTTGCTTCTTTTTGTTTTCGTTTGTTATTGTGGATTCTTGATTCCTCTTGTGTCTAGCTTCTTGCTGGATCGTTTTGTTTATTTTTATTGGTTGGCTTGGTGAAGGTGATGGCCATGCCGAAACTCTTCTCTTTGTCCTTCCTTTTTTGCCTTTAAAAAAAAAAAACATAAAACAAGGAGTAATTATGATTTCCGGAAAAAAAAATTATTTAAAAAAATCCAAATAAGGAAAGTGTTAGCTATTTTCCTGATCATGTAAGAAAAACCAACAACTGAAAATGCGAATCGCACATCACGTGATACTCACGTGGCCATCTTCTTCGGATAACCTATATATATTTCTGTGCGTGTTCAGAGATGATGAGAAAAGACGAAGCAAAATTTCACGGGCTTCGACTAGATCCCGATCAATACACATATTATTACGAGTTTCCGCATTAACCTCCCCTTTCCAATCACCGGTGGCAGGAAAATTCGCATCTCTCCGATAGGGCGGCTCGTTTCGTCCCCGCCGGTATAGCATACATACGATTTCTAAATTCTGTATTGGTTACTTTGTTTCAGATTGTTATATGATTGATTCTTGTAGTGTATGATATCTAGGGATGTATTTAGTGATACATTGAATTATAATTGGCGGTAATCATCATATATGGGGCGGTGGAGTTAGGAAACTGATTCATTGAATTGGATCGAGCCGTCTAATGTTTTTTTTGTTATCGTCATTATCACCATTGGTATGATCTTCTCCTTTGAATTGTTTTTTATGTTAGTTTTTGCGTTCAACCGTTTTCTGGAAGCATATATTATGGAAAGGTCGAATGTCTTTGGATCTGTGGATTTTGTAGAAGAATAGTTATTGTTATTCTTTCCTTATCATTATTATAACCCTAGAAAATACCTAAAATGATCGGAGTTTCTTCTCAATTTATGGAAAAAATTTAAGATGAGGATCGTGATAAATTCAATCTGTTGAAGAGAAAAATTCTACATTATATTGAAGTACTGCTAAAATATTTTTTTTATAAATTTTGATCATGTGAAGGAGTTTTATCTTTATCACGAATGCAAAAAATTGTTTATATGATCGTTTTCCATTTATTAGTATTGTGGGGAATGGGTTAGACCATGGTAAATAAAAGCTCGTTTTTTTCCATTTATTATAGTATTGATTAAGATGACCTGCATAGTTGCCTGGTCTGCATAAATATTTGTATACTCGATCCAAAAATTGATGAATGATATAGAAACGTTTTACATTCTGGTTTCTACTTTTAGATCATCTCCACCCTCAACAAAAACAAAAAGAAAACCAAATCAAGTAAATCTAATACCTAAAGTGCATGGAGACATTTTCTCTTCCTCACCAGAGAAAAAGGTTGTTTTAAAAAAAATTGCATGCCAAAAAAAAGAAAAGAAAAGAAGATTAGAAGAAACAATGAAGAGCCCCACCCCAGAAGGGATATCTAATTTTGTTGTAGTCCTTTATTACGTTCGAGCAATTTTCCTTTTGGTTTTTTCGCGTACAAAACTTTCAAGTACCGAGTGTTCACCTCTTCCGCGTCCAGTGAAAGAATGATGCTAAACGCCTCTAAAGTTGTAGACTGACCTGTTCGTATTACTGGTACCCATATATAACTTTTCAAGTCAATTGTAACTTGTAAAGAGATGTTAATGTAGCATTTCAGTATGTGATCTTTTTAATCATTTTGATGAATATAACATCTTCTTTCGGATAGTTATTGTCTGACTGATTATTTTTGTTTTCTTTGGGTTTCGTATTATGTTTTTGTGAAGGTTGAGATGATATCAATGATAGATAGCAGAGAATCCTTGCAATGCTTCTAACCCTGCACCGCTGTCTTGTCTCAATGGGTTGTTTCTGTTCTACCCCGCAGGGGAAAAAGGGTCTCAAGCCAGTCAGGCGTGAAGACCCAAGGACCCTTGCTTCCCAAACAGCTTGTAAGTTATTTCCACACCCACCTTGATTGGAACGTGTTCGGTTATTTCTGTTTGTGTTAGCATGTTTAAGGCTCCCTGCGAACTCTGATTGTCATTGTGAGTTGGATACTCTGTGACTCGCCTGTTGAAAAACCAAGCTATGAAGCTAATGAACCAACGAAAACTAAAAACTAAATTTGGCCAATCTTGACCCAGCCAATGCTTTTTCCACTAACTTCGCCAACACATACAAAACTTGGTGTACGAAGACATGTCAACACAATCAACCAAATAAGCAAATAAACAACAAATAGTCGGGAGATGTAGAAAATTGCTTGTGGAAACCCAAAATGGAAGCAAATCACGCGGGATGAGTCCACCGAGAAATCCACTATAATAGATCTTGTACAAGATTGGAGAAGAAAAACAGTGGAGAGGTATTGCATTGTATGCATGTATGGAATAAATGTAGAGTGCACAAATGTATATTGGGCTTAGAACATTGAATGCACTAAAGTCCACATTAAGTCCTGTCAGGTGCGATATGGGACTTCGAATGTGACTTTGAAGTTGCATTGCATCCGACCTGGTACGCGTCTTAAGCAAGTGGATGAGCGATTTTAGATGCCGTTCTCCATATTGCTTCTGATGTACCAAGAGTTCCTCTTCACTGTGCTACTCGCAAAGCGAGATGGAAGTCGCAAAGTGGTTCAGAACACCTGAATCACATAAGCTGGGTTATTTGCATATAAAATAAATAGGAGAGAGAAAGCAAAAGCAAATACAATATGTTCTATATTACAGGATGGCTGCTTGGTCGTATTTGATGGAAAAAACACAGCATGATTCCTTCTGTTTTCCTGAGAAAGTCTGACGTGTGACTATCAATGTGGTAGACCTAAACCGAAGGGTACATATATGATATAAAGAAACATCACTTCTGTAAAATATTTATGCTGGAGGACACATATATTTAGGTCAATATCCTCTATGAAAAAATGTATATTATTAATTCAATCATGGTCAAACTGTATTCACTGAAATCATTTGAGATCTCTAAGAAAGCCAAAGTTTTGGGATTTTGACATTTCCCTTATGTCCTCCCTTTACAAACGTACATTTTACCGTAAGTGTAGCACCTACAGGGTAACCTTGAGTGAGCAAAATTTCACCCTTATCATCCAGTGTGGGGATTCCTTTCCACTTAGTGTTTCGATTTTAAAACTTCTGTATGGCGATATGAAATCTTGTTTGTTTATATTTATAATTGTTTTTCTCACTGCAGTCAGTGTCAGTGAAGTTGAAGCACTGTTTGAGCTATTCAAGAGCATAAGCAGTTCCGTAATTGATGATGGGTTAATTAACAAGGTACTTTATGTCAGCATTCCTAGTTCAGATGCATTCCAGAGTTTTTCATATTACTCTGTTAAATATTATCTATTGATTATGCTTTTGGCTCGAATGCAACACAAAACTTAGGGTCGTTTATTAAGAGCTTACACGGTAGTGCATATGGTCCCTTTACCTTACTGGATAAATAAGGCAAAAAACCAAGAATTTTACTCATTAAGAGTGATGACAAGGGCCAGGAGTCTTACCTCGTAAATGACGATGAAGACTCTTGTCTGTTTAGTGCTTACCTGATAAATTGTTGCATACGATGCCGTTTTAATGGATTAGAATCGTATCCGGTAAGATAAGTGAGAATGTTGACTTTTACCGGTAAACTTTATGAGGTAAGCATTTGGATAAACATTCCCTTAGTTTCAATCTGGTAGCTTGTGGAGAATTTTATTAGGACTAGTTATTATAATTGGCCCCTCACTCGTACCTTTTTACTTCTCACTTCTGTTAAGGTCTTGCCCTAAGTTGTTGAACTGTCCCACATGAGCATTGTGAGATAAAATAGGATAATTCTCTCGCATTCCATTAATAGTGCTGCATTTATATTGTCTGTCCAACATGCACATCTATAGTTGTGTAGATGATAATGTATCTAAACATTGCATGCTTGACATATATGCAGGAAGAATTTCTTCTAGCTTTGTTCAAGAATAGAAAGGAACAGAATATGTTTGCAAACAGGGTATGATGTTCCTCCAATTCACTTTCAGTTATGTGGATGAAGTTACTGAATTTTCTGGTTCCCCTGAGGGTAAAATTTGAATATCTTGTCCTAATGTCCTCCTAAAACAAACCAAACTAATTTCTTATATGTCACTTTGTGATGGGGTATGAGGTATAAGAGATCTCTATTCCAAAAGTAGAGCGTTTGTTTATGTGAGAAAAAAGTTTTGACTTGTATTTTCAGAAAGGTTGTTTGAAGAAAGAGAAGGAAAAAGAAAAGAGTTTAAAAGAGAAGATGTGGAAAAGAAGTGCTAATCAAGTAACAACATAAAAAAATAGGTACAAGGAACATAGTAAAGGTTTGAAAAACTACCTAACCCATGGTCTTAAGGTAGAATCGTGGTAACCTATCTAATTTAATATTCCTCCGATCCCACCCTCTTACCTCTCCAACTCCTTTCAATCTTTCATCCTATATTCCTATGTACGCCAGCTACAATATGTAATCAAAACTCCTATTTAAGGTCATGTCCTCGAAAATGTTTAAAATCGAAAAAATAAGATTCAACATCATAAATATACCACATTGAATCAATGTGTACCATTAACATTTCATGATGCTAGAAGTATGATATCAAATTAAAAGGTAAAATATTAAATAAATATGCCATTTAGATTGTCTAAAGTTCAAAGTTTTTATGCCAGTTTCATGTGTTTTACCATATGAAGCAGCCAGGCTTTCCCTTGTTTTTTTCACCATCTTCCTCTTTCCCCTCTTTCCTACATTTGTTTTTGCTCTATTCAACATGTTTGAGGTGCACAGAAGTAGTGCCTCTTACTTCAATAAAATAAAGACCAATCTGAATGGATAATGTTGTATTTGCATATTGTATTATTTGTTTTGTGATATCCAACAATTTAAAAGTTCCATGTGCAGATTTTCTCTCTTTTTGATGTTAAGCATAAGGGGGTCATCGATTTTGGTGACTTTGTTAGATCACTCAATGTGTTCCACCCTAAAGCTTCACTAGAAGACAAAATCAATTGTAAGTTGATTATTCTAAATCTTGATCGGAATTCCAAAACAACCAAGTGATATCTTATATCTTTGCTTCTATTTTAGTTTCGTTCAAGCTCTATGATCTGGATGGAACAGGATTCATCGAGCGTGAAGAGGTATATCGGTTCTGGTTTTGTATCTTAACGTCTCTACTATATTTCTTTTACGACAATTACAACCCTAATTTATTTTTTTTACAAATGACCTAATAGTTTTATCTCCAATTTTATCCCTCTAATACGTGATTCATTTTCATCCAAATCTTTATTTCACACCATACATATAATGGTCCAAGCCAAACTAGTGCATTGTTAACACCCCAAAATCAATCAAAACCATGGTCTAAATTTTAGTAACTCATTGTAAAGGACCTTTTAAGGGATTTACAATCCTGACTCAATCAGTATGATATGGGATGTCACAAATTCTCCTCTTTAAATTCTTTGGTCTTCATCGAATTTACATAGAAACCCATGTAGAATCCAGAAATCGTTATATTTAAGATGCATGAGTCCAACCAATTAGAATTTGAGGCTCTATACTAGTTGTAAAACCCAAAACAATTTACTAGCCCCATAACTTCTAATCATGGTTTTAGTTTATTTGGAGGTTATTGCACCCTATTATATTACTCTAAGGGAGGTTTCAATATATAATGAGAGGAAATTTTTCCAAGTCTAGCCGATGTTTGACTTTAACACCTTTTAACAGAGGCTATACGGGCATAGATTATCTCACGGTGTTGAGTGGGGCCAGACAAATACAAATTGACCCACAAAGTCTATTTAGAGTAGTAGACCTCGAATATGCCCTATTGAATTACTCCCCATAATAGTCAGAAAGAGAGAAGGGAAATGAACAAAAGCATAAGATCTTGATACAGGAGTCTTATAGGTGGATCCATGAAATGAAAATTTCAAATGAACAGAAGCATAAAGTCTTGATATAGAAGCTCTAGAACTTGTTTTATCCCAAGAAAGATTGAAAAGCTTATTCTTTAATATCTCAAACCATCTTTGATCATCCACAATCTTTTGCAGGTTAAACAAATGTTAATCGCGCTTTTACACGAATCTGAGCTGAAGCTAGCTGATGACACCATTGAGATAATACTGGACAATGTGAGTTAATTAGTTCACTTTTTGTTTAGTCTCAAGTATCGTGTACTAATTTTTGTGTTGTTTTGTTATATTTGAACAGACATTTTCAGAGGCGGATAGAGACCAAGATGGAAAAATAGATAAATCAGAATGGCACGCTTATGTTACCAAAAACCCTTCCTTGTTGAAGATAATGACACTTCCATATCTGAGGTATGTCATATCATAATAACATCATGATATATACATCAATTATGTGTGTGAAAGGGTATTAATACATAGCAACCCATGTATATTCCATAATTATGTGGGACAATTTTTAGATTACAAAGAAGTTTTATAGAGAGATAGAGATGCACAAAAGGCCCTCGGATTGAGGGCAGGCCCAAAAGATCTCGATTAAGGCAGGACCAACAAAATCCGGCTGGACCCAATTCTTTTTGTCCAGGACCGGTAGGACAACTGGACAAGCCCCAGCCGGAGTCCAAACACATGGTCGGGTTAGGACCGTCAGCATGCACAAACACAAGGTCAGGTTGGGACCGAAAAAGTACTAGTCTAAAACTGGTAAAGAACCGTCATGCCTTGAAAACGTTTTTTTAGTGGTTTTTTCGTTGAGGTGTTGTTTCAGATACATAAGCATTCATGTTTACTGAAATGCAGGGATATTACCGTAACCTTTCCGAGCTTTGTGTTCAATTCTCAAGCTGAAGAAGAGGTTGCAACATGATGAGGAGGAAATGAGGGATTTCGGTAATAGTAATTTACGAAGAAATCCTTGGTGCTACGTACGCTTGTCTACTAATTCTAACTCAAAGATGTGTTGAAAGAGGAGGTTTGTGGCTCGCTTTTAACCCAACAAAACATAACAGTTGAATTATGATGTACAATCATTATTCACTAATAAAGTTTGTTATTGATTGGTATTTCTTCTTTGTCCCCTCACTTCCATTCATGTGCTTTACTTCCCAAAAATGGTACATATCATATTAGTCGAGGTCTGTGCAAATCGGATAGACATTCACTGTTACAAAAAAACATACAACTACTTTCGGAAAAGCAAGTTAATGAACTTTTGAAAAGGAACTTTTCAGCTCTTTTTTGAATATCATGGTATCGACGACTATCGACACATTTAGTTCCCAGGTCCATAGTGATTCATGCAAAGTGTCTCTTTGATGCGAGGCTTAACCGTGGACCATGAGAACCACACCTTATTGTTCTTGGCCCATGATCAAGTAAAACAACCATAACTTTTCCTACGAGACTCCACAGTCAATTCGAAGTTCTAGAAAAACTTGATGACTTTTTCATTTTGAATAAATAAACCATCAAACTTCTAAAAGTTTTACATACATTTTTTAACTAAAAAAACTACTTGTAAATGGTTAGTAACGTTTTAAAGGTAAAAGAGTTACCATTAGCCTTTGCCATTGATTTTTGTACACGTTTATGATGCAAAGATTCCATGAAACGTGCGATGGCACAAGCTTGGCCATTGACACCATTGTACTCTATCTTCATCTCGGTCGTGTAGTTGATAATTTCTCTGACTGTAATGGATTTGAGTTATAAATACAATCAAAGTTCAATTGTTAATTGCACAAGTTTTGCTAGTACAAGAATAATGGAATAGTAATGTTAGATCAAGTGATTGTGGTTTGTGATTATGAAAATGTAAGGTTTTTTTATTAATGATATACAGATAAATTTTAGATAAACATTTTTTTGAAGTATATAATATTTATATATGACAAATGCAACAAATAAAATTACACACTCTCCTTACCTTCGGTGAAGTTTGAACCCCTGAACTCCTAGGAGGCCATAGGTTACAATACCGCTAGGCCAAACACCATTTGATAGATCAGTATTTTTTATGTCACGTTTCAATAAAATTGGAGCAAATTTAGGTAAATAAAGTTCCACTTTTAACAGGTTTTTAGTATGTTTTCAAAATTAAATGTCTTGTTAGCTATTTTATAATATAGTTTTGAGATGTGTCCTATAAATCCATCTTTTTATAAGACAATTGTGTTTATAGAACACTTTATCAAATAATGTCGTATAATGTAGTTAACACGACACTCTTTTTTAAAACATCCTAAAACCTTGTTAAAATGCTTAAAATGTCCTATAAACGTATTGCAACAATTTTATACATGACGTTTTTTTGTTTGGTCTTTTAAACTTAAGTCCTATTAAGTATTTTTCCAGGGCATCTTTAATCCAACAATAAAAACACTAAAAGCACAAAAAATGAAGGTGTTTTCATCTTCAACCCAATACTAAAACACTAAAAATTACGGAGATCGATAAAAATTGGCCTCAATAAATGATATACTAATATAATGTTATTTTTTTATAAATACATATATTATTATATTATTATTATAATATTAAAGAAGGTTTTTAGTGTTTTTAGTATTTTATTGTTAATGGTTGGGTTATAGATGGTCTTTTAGGATGCTTCTACATTTTAGGCGTTTTATAAAGTCAATTTTGTTGTAGTGATGGTGGATGAGGCGGAGCCTGTTGGTGAATTTAGGGTCATCAATCCTTTTGTTGTAATTGTGATTTATTTGAGATCGTTTAAGGTGATAAAGCAAACACGAGTGAGTTAGGAGGTTCACAATTCATACTCACAAATGTTGTTTCTAGCATCTTAAATCGTTATAAGACCCGGGAGGTAAAGGGGTCGTGCCCCTTCGTAGGGTTCAAGAGGCACCCCCCCCCCCCCCAAGCGGGGGTTTTCAAGGGGCAGAGCACTTTGGCGGTTTTCGAAATTTACAAAGAATCAAACTAAGTGAAAACTTTATTAAGTATAAGCATGGATAGTGGATTCAGAGTTCTATATATGTATTGAGACTTAGGAAATTAGCCAAGTCCTAAGTCTGAACCGAATTGAGTTAGAAATCTGAAACTTGAATTCAGACTTGTGATTTTCCAGAGTTATGAAAATTAGCCAAGTATCAAACTTTGAATAGTAGGATCAGAGTTTAGATTACTGCATCCAGACTTAGATTCAGTGTTCAATTATGAGAACTTTGATACAGTTGTAATTGCTTTTCAATCTTATACATTAACGGTTATAACCGTCGATCTCTCATATAAATATATAAAAACGTGATTTGGTGAATATATATATAGGGTTGGGTTCACGTGAGACCACTTTTTACACTTAAAACTTCACAACAAAATATTGTGAAGGTTACCTTTCACAGCAAAAACATTGTGAAGGTTACCTTCTCAGCGTTTTGCTGTGAAGTTTCAAGTGTAAAAAAATGATCTCACGGATCTCACGAAAACAAACTGGTCTCACATGATTCCAACTCCCTCTCTCTCTGTATATGCGAAATTAGTGCCTTTTTTTTGTGTATGAAATTTCTAAAATATCCCGAACCGAATTCATGATAACTCAAGGTATTAGAGGGACGAAATCTAATATTTGAAAAGTAAGTTACAATACATCTGTATCCAAGAATTATACGAACACAAAACCAGACCCCAAAACTAATAAAAGAAACTAACTAAATCCATTGAACTGAAATGGCTTAATGACTCATACCTTAAGCGATTCTACTTGCACCTAAATCTAATTAGTATACAAAACTACTATAGCATATGTCCATCTTAGCTGTGATACTATATCATATAGAGTGGCTTATTCAATAAGCTTCTACCGGAAATCTCTATAAGAGAAAACCCTTCCAATCTCTACAAACAGATTAATCCACACAGACAGCTTTCACGATAATAGAAAACCAACCCTCGATTCGATTACGTAGAACGATAAGCAAGCGATGAATATTTCCGACTCATTTTCCCTTTCATGTGCCTCTTCTTCGCATCGACTCTCGCTGATACTCCTATCTCTGTTTCTTGCCTTGCCTTTGATTGTTCCTTTTTCCACATCTTCTTATCTGTAACATCTTTTCTCATGTTCTTCATCTCCTGAAGAACATGATGATCTTCTGGATTGTAACATCTCTGATACGATATGTGAATGAGGTACGGCATATTACATAACAACGTTATGAAGATTGTCGATAAGTAGAAAGTTTCCGACGGTCCAAGAACTTCGGGAAGTTGCTGATAAATGTTACCCGCTGACCATCCGACCGGCATCATTCCGTACACGTAAACTATTAAGTACCATACGACGATACTACCCCATATCGTGTGTAATTGGATTCGAGTCAAGTAATGCGAAATAAGAAAGATTTGAACATTTACTACCCATATGATGCTTGTAAACATAGCTGTACCTATAACATACATATCGGCTGTTTGTCCTTCTTTTCGGAAGGATTCGGGACTGAAGATATAAAGATTAACGAGATAGATCACAAAAGAAGCGTAAACTCCGTTTGCGAGCCACCCGATTATTCTGTACCAATCGAAAAACAAGTTTTTTGGACCTTGTTGATATAATGCAGGAAACTGTAAGCAGAACTCTGCGCATACGTCTTTCTCCAAAACCCCGAGGGCGAGGACCGGACATGAGGTAAGGAAGACGTTGTATAGCAACATATACCAATCGTCGTAGTGCATTTGACCCGAGAAGCCGGTTTCGGCTTCGAAGTAGAATAATGTAAGGGCTAATGTTATGTTTTTGTATAAGAAGTAACATATCATCTTGGAGATTCTCTTGTAACACCAATGTCCATGAACAATCAAGAGTCGTTCCAAGAACCGAAACTGCGCGATCGAGAAATCGCTAGCCATCACGGCTTGCATCCCTTCGACACCGCTAATACCAATGCCGATATCGGCTTCTTTGATCATACCCACATCGTTTGCACCATCACCGATCCCCAACGTTGTTTTTCCCGTCCCTTCTTTCACTAATCTAACCACCAAAGCTTTCTGTCGTGGCGACACTCGACAACATATGACAGACGCGCAATTAACCGCTAGATTCAAGAACTGGAACTTCATATCGTCCTCGAGAGCGTATGTCAACGTCTTACCATCGATGATCAACGCAAATGCGACGTGCGGGTCTTTTTTCCCTTTGAGTGATTGTGAGGCACTGGTAATCTGTTTCAAGATGTTCTCTTTTATAACATCTTTAGCATCTTGAGCCAACATTTCTGCACTCACGACAATACAAATCTGTTTCATCCCTTGCCGTAACAAGCTACACGAAAACCCGATATTGATCGCGGTTTCCATCTTATCGCCGGTTAGAACCCAAATCTTAAGACCCGCTAGAGCCAATCTATCGATACACTGAGGAACCCCTTTTTGTAGCTTATCTTCTACAGCAGTTGCACCCACAAGGGTTAGTTCTCTTTCCATTGAATCAGATAGTTCTTCTAGTATTTCCTCTCTATCTGGACCACTGGCTATCTGAGCCTTGTGGAATTTCTCGTACCAATTCGTGTACTCGGTTTCTTCGAGTTTCTTATAAGCGAGCGCTAACGTACGTAAGCCGGCATCCCCGTAATCGTTCAAGTTCTTTGTTGTGGATTCGAGAAACATCTTTCCGTTACTCGCTAATCGATCAAAGATGATGGTGTCTGCACCTTTGCAAAACATAAGAATTTGGTCCGTTTCATCACGGATGATCACAGACATTCTCTTTCTCTTGCTGGTGAAATCCAACAGAGTTAGGATCTTGTATTCCTTTTCAGTTGGTTCTTGGTTTACACTAAGTTTCTCCTTAATAATGACGCTGTTTTGCGTTCTCTTGATAAAATGGAACCCGAATTCTCGAGCTGCGACAAGGAATGCACCTTCATCGGGTGACTCGGCTTCATAACTTAGCTCGCCGGTCTTCTCGTTCACTTCAGGTATTGCTGTGTGACATACGGCAAGAATACGAAAAAACAGCAGAATCACATCTGCATTTGGCTCTTTCAACCAATTCCCATTTTGTAATCGATCATCTTGAAAGCTAAACCCTTTGATCGGTTCTTTCTTGTCGGTATTCCCATTGTCCGTGATCGTAATCGCTTCTAACGTTGCAGGATCGCTCATATTTCCATCGAAAGACTCCGCATCTTGGATTTCAGCAGCCAGTTGTTTCGCAGCCGCGAGTTCAACTTCACTCAGCCGCTTCCCATAAGGACACCCCGCGATCGAACACTTGAGGAAGTCCATTTGGTTGCACGTCAACGTCCCGGTTTTATCCGAAAGAATGGTATCGATTTGACCCAATTGCTCGTTCAAATTCGAGGTTCTAGCCTTCGCTGGGACGCCGCTAACTTCATCGTACATATGTATATCGCTGTTGATGAAACTCGCTTGAAGAATCTTCACCGCCTCGATCGAAACATAGAGCGAAATCGGGACAAGATAACCATATAGCATAAGTGCAGTTACAAGATGTCTTAATCCAGACACGAAGAAGTTATTTAGATCGAAATCCTCTCCCGGTATTTGTGGCATCAAGTACCACCATATCGGAACCGAATTTCGAACTGCTAAACCGAACCCTGAAGCACTAACAATCGATATCACGATCAGTAACCCGAATAACAAGTAAATGATCTTATCCATCTGAAGCTCGATTTTGCTTCTTTTAGCCGATGATTGCGTGGTATTCTGCATCACTTTCGTATCATTTCCGGTGAAAACCACAACACCAAACACATATTCAGTGTTTCGAAGCTTCGAATCTCGAAGAAGAAGCTGTGCAGGTTCAAGGGGATATATACGACCATCGTAATCTAGATTACCCATAAACGTATAGAGATTCGGGTTTGGATTTTCGCAATGAATCGTGGCGCTAAAATCCTGAAAATGTGAAGCTTTTTCATCTTCGACTAACGGAAATGAAAGATTCTGCAAAGCCCTTTTCACCTTCAAATTTGTCTCCCCATCCAAGTTCATAGTCTCAACATACGACATTCCATCTTCATAACTCGATTGCAGCAACAACAAATCAGCAGGAAAAAACTCATCTTTTTTCACTTTCACTATATCTCCAACGCAAACCTCACGCCACTGCTTCGACCCAAACTCACCATTTCCGACATGAATGTTGGCATTTCGACAATTCGCTGCTTTATCTTGCCAAAATCTCTGAAGATCTTCATAAAGCTCTTTGGCTAGACTAAACCCAACGACCAACGCTAAGGGCACGACTTGGCTGGGCCAATCAAAGGGGGCGTAATCGGTGAATGTTAAACCGGCGGCGACTAGGAAGTAGAAGTTGGCGACGCGATTGAATTGCTCGAATAACGCGATGGGGAGGAAGTTGAGGAAAGTGTATTTGGTTGTAGAGACGTAGTTTGAGCAAAAGTTGGGTGTTTCTTCAGAGGTGGGTCGATTGATGTAGATGACACGAGGGTATCCTGATAACTCTCCTCTGGTAGCTTCTTCCTTTTTGTAAGATGGTTTTGTTCGTATGTTAGCTAATGTGTAGAGGCTGCTCCGCCGGAGCTTTGCCCTTATTCTACCTTTTGCCATTAAGAAGATACCCGAATTGCGCTACGAATACTCATTTTTTGATGAAGATAAGGATGGTAGTTTGATCAAAGATTGAAGGTCCAACAATGGAGGACGGGAAGAGAGAGGAGAGATACCAGAGAGAGAAAGTCATGTAAAGAGGAGAGGATCTTGCGGTGAGGAGGATTTCATGTGGAATTAGAGAAGAAAATGTGTAGACGAAATCAGGAAGAAAGGGATAGATAGAGAGCATTTTACGGGAACTTAATAAAAATTCTCATTAGGTTCAAATTCATACTTTTTACTTTATCTATATTATCTTATAAAATATTCGGCTAAAATTCCTATTAACTCTTAAACTCATTTATTCATATCCGATTTTGTCTCATATTTGAATTCGTGTAACTAATTGAAGATAAACACAATCAAATATAGGATAAACATCTTATTTTAAATATAAAAAATTTAAAATATAATTAGTATAATCATTAAATTCTAATAGAATACTTAATTATTATCTTTATAAAATTTATAATATTAAACCAAAAATAAATTGTTTTTTATTATTAAACTTAAATTAAATTATATAAAAAATATATATTCTATATTATAAATCATTTGACAAACTCTATGCGTAAAATACTGTTTATTAATGCATATTACTTAAAACTCAAGATTACAAGTAGATTGTGTGTAAGTACAAATTATTAAAACTCCATATCTGAATTCGTGTAACTAATTGCAGATAAACATAAT